CCTTTATCATATAAAGATGTCATCAGTCATTATTGACCATGGCCTAGAAAGCCAGCTATTTATAAGGAAAAACTGTTCACTTCATTAGAACACCCTGAGGTTCGTCATTAACACTAACAAAGAGAACCATACATGCAGAGACAGGAATATAACGGCCCCACGGCCTGTGGCCGGAGGAAGGTTGTAAAAACAAAAGGAAATTGAGGAAAGTGACCAAAAATTTGGAGACTTTAGAAAATTGAAAATATCGTATTACCTTTTGGCTTTCAAAGTCCAAGATAAGGAAAGTTTTAAAGTAGGATATACTTGGCGAGAGGAAAATTGACAACTTTTCTAGGCTCTGCATACCTGACTGTTATGAAGAATAGGTTTAAATGAGTTAAATGTCATTCTTTTGCTAGGTCTTATCAAGGGAGATGAAGGATGGGTACAATACAGCCAAAGTTCGATGGTTAAAAGATGCAGCTGTTACAGATAACGATCTAGGTATCGTTTGAGGCATTTAAATTAAACTTAACATTACATGGTTATAGTTAAGATAAAAGCACCATAGTGTTACTTGTTATTGTAAACAGGTTTTCAAAAAAAGTGCGACTTTATCACATGAAAAAAAAATTCTGTTTATGAATAACTGTGCAGGTCTGATGCCTGCAATGTAATTAAGCCACATAGACATATTCCTCTACGTGTGCACTTATGTAAATGAAATGACAATTCTTCTAAAGAATCCCATAGCTCCTATAAACCTATGATAATGACAAGATTAGTTTCATTTTTACAATTTAAAATGTGAAGCAATGAGTTGCTTCTAAGAACGGTCACGTTTTATTTACCAAAGTGGTTATGATTTTAAATATTTTATGTATGAAAAAATCATGAAACTATGTACGGTCATAAGTAGTGTCGGACATAAAAGACTTTTGTGCACTGACTTTATCCCTGCAACCCTGCAATTGGTAGAGCAGAAAGTTGGATACCGTATTTCCTCTGATAAACGCCATCTTTTATTAAAGGCCGCATCAAAAAGTTGCATTTTGTAACAAACGCCGCGGCGTTTAATAGAGGAATTACGGCAGCTATTATAGCTATACGTTTAGCAAAGGGTACAGTGGCAGTGTTGCAAAGTTGACGGCAGCTTGACCCTGCCCTGCCTGTTTTGAATGCTGCAATGCTTCAATGCATTAGATAGGGAAATTTGTCAGTTTCTAAGGTTCCACGGGCAAATATTTGTTCCTCAACTAAGAAGCGGATTTCAAAAGAGGGTAGGAGACTGTTAAATCATGATTCTTATTTTGGAATTCTAAAAGAGGAAAACATACCAGCAGTGCTTGCTGAATGTAGTCAGGACAATGGCCACCTCACAGGGAGCTCATACTTTTTCGTTGAGAGATCGATTTTATTTATCCGGACTGCATTTACTTACTATTTTGCAGGACATCGCTGACAGACTCAAGCGACTATCATACTCATAAATCTCTAATTTTGCGAGAGATGATAAATAAGAAAATAACAATTGCATTTCTTTGCTTCACAGAAATGTTGTCAAAGTTGAATTCTGATGTTTACGCTGAAATGAAGACATTCGTACTAGAGTTCCTGAAACGGCAGAATGTGAGTAACTCAGCCTTTGATTAGACTCCTTTTTATGACACCAAGAGTACACATTATACCGAAGCACTTTTCTTTAAAAACTGAGAACAAAAAAAGAGTATGCCCAGACTAAGAGAGAAAATCTATCAGATAATCAACCGTGCTGCTAAAAATGAAACGTAAAACTGTTATTTTGTGGTCTCAGAAACAATTTATGTTATGTAAATGTAGAAAGGTCATGTTGAAATAAGAAAGACATAAAGAATGCCCGAGTCTCAAATTATCAAAGAAAATGAGAACATCGCGGCCTGGCAAACAGTTTTCTGGCTCTAGTAAAATATATCAGGGAAGAGAGACATACGAAGCGAATTTGTGCCATTACGCTTGAATTTATCCTTTGGTGACCAACTTTTCTCTATGGATAAAGCTTGGCATTCGTGCTTATTGTTAAATATTAGGGATTCACCATTTTCTTTTTCCTTGCAGCAAAGTGTTTTGGCTAGCCAAATCCAGTTTCCTGCATTAGAAAATGACAAAATTGGAAGCAGAGATGGGCCATCTTGGGTATGGTGGCTAATTGACTGCTTTATCGAAGCGACAGAACACAAGATCGAATTCATTTCGTCAGAATCTCTCGAGGAAAGACTGAACATAATTCGCAGTCAGCTCTCAATGAGTTGCTGAGTTGAATTTCTGTTGTTGGCTCCACCTGGGACATTGCCTTTGCCACAGGGGCTGATTAATGGTTTTCAGCCTGGCACCCAAGCTGTTTCGGTAGCCGGGCTTGCTCGCTATGTTCCATGAGTTCAAATAAACTGTATTTTGGTACTTTTTGCAAACCTTTCAGCCCGGCAACCATATTTATTATGGTTCAGCCAACCGGGCAGTCTCGCGCCCTAGCCTGCAAAAGATGAAAATTCCTTCGTTTTTCGCAAGGCTGAAAAGTCTTCATTTGACAGGGGGCACTGTTTGTCTAAAAATATGCGCGACAACTTGCGAGTCATCTAGGATACCGGGCTAAAAAGGTAGTTTTTCATCACATAAAGTACCAAAGTTGCAAGCTGTCCTGGCTACAAAGTCAGCTCTTGTGCTGGGCGTAAATGTGATAAAACAGTCAGCCCCTGAGTTACTTGCCATTAGGGTAACAGTTTGCTTTATGGTTTGTCGTTGAAATTGAAAATATTGTTGTTCAAAGCGACCCAGCTTTGTTACACTCTATTCTTCATTAGTTGTATAACTTGCTTCTGCATAGACTTGTTGTATCTTGTAGAAAATAGGATCGGTGTAGTTGAATTAACATTGTTGACAGCCATGAATACGGCCCTTCTCTATACACTCATTTTTTCATTTATAAGAAACGTATGTAAGAAAGTAAGTACTTAGGCTACTGAGTCATTGTGCTAGAAAATGCAGATATGTAGGGACAAACCTATTGCGGTCGAGGTAATACCTCAGCCAATGGGTGCTTATTCGAGGGTGGGGGCTTATTCGAGGACATACGGCATGATACTTAAAAAGTTGGCAGCTCTTTTGTCATGCAAATAAGTAAGGCGTTATGGCAGCCCCGCCCACAATTGTCAATGGCTTTATCGTATATTTTGACATCCCTAGATTTTGGAAAAGTTCAGCCTAATTTTTGTAAACACATACTACTATTGGTTTTAGGATGTTATGGAGGGAAAGTGAAGGAAGCTGTGCTTTGAATAATTTATCTTAACATAACTATCAGTAGTTAATATGTTCTGTGTGCGTGTATAGCTAGCCTGCGCACAGACCCGATTGGTTTTTCCAGAGATTAACGGTAAATTTTCCATTAAACTAAATTCATCTCTGGGAAAACCAGTCGAGTCTGCACGCAGTATCTATGTAAAGGTAACTTAACAATTTACATAATTTAATTATTCTTCTGCGTTTATTTCATTAAAAATTTTTTAATTCAGACCTTCGTTCTTTTTGTGGAATATTTGCCAAGTCCTTGAAAATTGGTGATTTTTGATCTCGAGGAAGGTAGTGCAAAACAGGAAGTTTAACGTAGCGAAACTTGATCGCATTGTTTTAATAGAAATGTTTATAGTTTTTCATTATATAATTGGAATAAAAAACAAGTGAAAATTGAAAAACGCGAGGTTTATACAAATGAGGTTAAGAGAGGATCAGCTTCAAAGCGGACAATCCAAATCAATTGTTTACTATTTGAAAATTTTTAACTTCCTTCCTATTCATTTTGGCATTCAAGCTTGTTTGGACTCACTAGAAGCATAACTACAATACCCGTCAAAAGTAGTTGGAACACCGAGATTGTATTCGTAATAAATGTATATTTTTCAGTTCATTTCCTTATTTCAAGCAGACGGAACCCCCTCCCCCCCTTAAACAATGTTGGAAAGGAAGATGAACATGTCGCTAAACATGGGTTATACAATTTGCGCTCCAACATACATTTGTTGTCATTATCCAGTCGGAATCCAACATTGTATATGAGGGGAAGGGAGGCGTTTAGTAGGAAAGATGATTGGACTGTTCCAACACTTTTGGCGGGCATTGTAGGTTGCCTAGAGCCTTTGAAAGACCAAAGGCAAACATACCCAAAAGTAAAACATACCCAAACTGTGTGCCTCCTCTCAACAGATGAGAAACCGCTGAAAATCATGCAAAGGCTCTTCCAAACCTTATTTTTAGACAAATAGGGAGGTTTTGGGTAGGGAGGTTAAAACATCTTTGTTTAACACTTTATTTTGGCTATTGATGTCACGAAGAGAAGAGTAGTTCAGGTGATTACACTTTGGACAAGGCATTCAAAATATCAACATGTTTGTAACTTCTCCAGCTTGATGAAAATAGAGAATTGATCGTTGAAGTTTGAAATTTTTTTGTTTCTTATCATTTTTTTCTTTTTCCATTTTTCTACCTTGTCTTCTTTAGTAAAAACAAGATTTGAAGCAAATCTAGTTTGATAGAATTCGATGGAAAGAATATACAATTCGCAAGCACTTTCCATTTCTGTTCATTCATTCATTCATTCATTCATTCATTCATTCATTCATTCATTCATTCATTCATTCATTCATTCATTCATTCATTCATTCATTCAATTTCGATTTATATTATAGTCATTTATAGTCATTCGATTTATTTTACCAATTGTATTATTTGTTTGATTAACACTCATTTTGTAAGATAAATTTTATAAGAATACGTGCCTCAAAACCTCTCAAAATGTAAGAACAAATTATGATCAAGCCGAGGCTGCTGTGGCACCGAGAACTGTGGTAGAATGTTGAGAAATCCCCTTAAAAATGTTCATCTCAAAAATGAAGAGGTTCTGCTATCTAGAAGTAGTTTCTTCGGAAAATGAGGTCTCGCTCCTCACTTTTTTGGTAAATGAGGCTTGAGTTTCCCCCTCGAGCAAATCAGCACAAGAAAACTTTGGCAAACACCCTTTTAGGATTAGCTTGAAATTCATTTCAGAATTATTTCTTTTATTTGTTTAAAACTCTTTACTATTTTATAGGCAAACTTTTGTCACATTTGAATAATTCCATTATTCAAAAAAGAATGCACTACATTTTCATGCCCCCTAAACCTAAAGTGTCCATGTTCAATCTATCAATTTTCTTTTCATAGTTCAAAAGTTTGTGAGATAGAACATGTGAGACAAAAATTTGTAAGAAATGCCAAAAAATTAAAGCTTTTTCCTGTTTCACCAGAGCACAAATTGGTAATCACTACACCGTGTACCTTTTTCACTCTTCAAAGAATTTTGTCTGTGTTACAAAATGTTTGCTTTTTTTAGTTTGTCTTTAGCTTGTTATTTTGCTTTTGTCTTGTTTTGTCAGTGAGCTAATTCAAGACATGATTACCTAAAAAAGCTAATCAAAAAATTACGCAAAAATGTTTTCATGGCCATATTTCACGATTCGTCGATTTGATAGCGACACATTTTGTGAGTAAAAATGCAAGAATATTGAATACGTATCCGTGCAGATATTACGTTACCTATTATCCCTAAAATTTCTTCGACAAAACTGTTAAAATGAATGGAATTTTGAAGTGAAGTGAATTAGAAGTAAAAATAAAAAAAATTGGAAGAAATGAAGGTATTGGAGCCTCGTATTCAAGAAAACGAATAAACTTGTATCGAGGTTGCCAAAACAGACAAGAGTCCACAAGAAAACATTATAATTGAAGAAGAATGGACTGGCAGGGAATTTTCTTTTTCATTTCGGTTCGTATAATTCATTTTCTACAGGATTGTCTACTTTTACTCTGGTCTTTCTATTAGAGTGTGATTTAATCATGAATAGAAGAACAGAACAAGGACAAGAAGACAGTCATGCAACATGCATAGGTCCGGAAAAGTCAAACTGGCCATGAAGAATGATTCCAGCTAGTCTGTTTAGGAGACATAATAACTAATTTTTAGAAATCGTAGTGATTCAGAAAGAACCTGGAAACACAATTTGTTTAATGTGCCAGGGCAAAAAAAGAAGTGCCCGCATATGAAGTGTTGGCCAGGGGTTTATAAAGAGAGGGCTTATTTGCAAGCACCCAACGATTCACTTCATTGAGAAAATTTGTTATCTATAAAGTGATAATGGTGATGATGATTGTTCATGAAATGTTGACCATAAGGATCATGATGAAAATAATGATTAATTTTTCTAGATCTGCTTTGGAGTATCAGGGGAACATTCAGGTAACCCTCAAATTCAAATTATGTGCCACTTCCAGTGATATTTTGCTAAAAGTCAATTTTGCTTCTTTATTTTTCAACTTTTTGTTAAAAGGAACTTCTTGGTCCTTTTTACTTGTTTTAGAGGTCCTTTGGGGCTTTGGCCCCCCAAATAAGTGTACTTAGAAGCATGCAAAAAATGCTTTAGCCACCTCAGTCTGTAATATGCTCCATGATCCTTGGCTTCCTGCCAAGGTTGTTGCTACAAAACAAAAAACTCTTTTTGCCATGTCTTTTGTCAGCAAATTCCTAGACTTGTCAAAGGATTGCACCTTATTTGTCACTAAATGATATTTTGCAATGTAACTGCTTCCTGTCTCCATCCACTGATCTGGAAAATTATTAATTCACAATATCTGTCAAGATGTATGTGTCAAAACCAAAAACTATTTTTTTGTAATTTTTTAATTGTTTGTTTCAAAACCAATGCAAGATAAAAAACTTAATGTAAATAACAGAAACATATGGCTCAGTGCGAACACTACACAATGAAAAACAATACAGTTTACAAAGATTCAGCAAAGAAACCACAAATCAAAACTTTAGAACAATTTTTAGAACAATTTTAGAGCAATTTTACCAAATTAAAGTGACAAACCTCTTTCAGTTTCAAGTTTCAATACTTTTTCAGAGTAAACAGAGTTATACAGAATCAATGACAGCTAGCTAATTTTCTAGCCAGTTATCCTGCATACTCTCAAGAATTTGAATATGGCACAAAACATTTCATATTGTTGAAAACATACATTTATTTAAAAAGAATCACAAGTGGAGAAAAAAGACTTGAAATCATCTTTTTTGCTGTAAGTAACAATGTTGAAAATGATGGGCAGTGACAATAAACTTGATTTATAGAAACAAAACATTGCCAAAAAGAAGCGGAAAAATCCATTGCTTCTGGTCTAATTGGTGGATTTGTGCCAAGGTGTTTGAAGAATGGATTTTATGCCCCAGTACAATGTCATGGCTCAACAGGAATTTGCTGGTGTGTGGATAAGAACGGAGATATCATTTCTGATGCGCAAATAAAGAAAACCGCTTGCAGTAAGAATCCCCTTGTACTATACATTTAAATGACAAAAAGTAGTAAAAATATGGCTGATCTCAATGCTATAATAATGAATGCAGACTTTAGTGAAAGCAATGTAGAGGCATGAGAAAAAACAAGAAAGCGTCATTTGAAACCATTTAAATGTTTGAATGCTAGATTTGAAATGTAAGATTTTTGCTTATCATTTTGCAAAAATGCATAAATCCATTGTAGGAGTAAAGAGATCTTATTTTGTGTTGCAAGGGTAGGGAATTCATATCAAATTTACTTTGCAATAGGCAAGGTGGAAAGATGAATTTTCAGACATTTGCACAGCATTCCCTGCAGTTTATTGCACTCCTTCTTTTAAACAGAGCAGAGTTGCTGCCAATTAAATGGAAAGAAAGGCATATACAAGTAGAAGCATTTGATTTTCTTTCAGGGAATATAAAAATAGAATTTAAAAGGTGTTATTTGTTTACTTTTCATTCATCCAGGTCTGAGATTTCTTTTCTATGCATATATAATATTTTTAAATTGTTCAGTTGTTCAATTGTTTAACACAGCTTAACCTATCATTAAGGTCTGGTGTTGACTGCACCACAAAGAATTAATTGGATTGAAATGTTCTTTAAATGTCTTTTTATTTCTTGATTTTGTTACAATTTCAACAGATAACCCATGCTTCAAGAAAATACTTGCTAACCCAACACCAGCCATACTCATTCAAGGATCTTTGAGACCAATTCACCTAAATTCCCAAGTACCAAGATGTGATGATGAGGGATTTTTTGAACAAAAGCAATGCAGTCAGGAGTTTTGTTGGTGTGTGGACAAACATGGAAAAGAGCTACCTGCCACTCGAGGTAACCAGGACAAGGTTGAATGTTAATACTGTATATAGTATCTCAGAAAATAAGAAACTGCTATTAATTTATTTGAGGAACAAAGACTACAGATCTTGCATTAGATAGCATTTGACTATGCATCCTACATTTAAATATATTTCTCAGCATATGGCAAAAGTTTTACATTGCTTTTTCAAGCAAGGGATAGTTCTGGTGTACATAGTGTAACACCATTTACCACAGTTGATAGAATATGCATTGACTCTATTTATTCTCTTCGTATTATTTAAGTTTTGTTAATAAAGATGAATATATAAACGTTTTGCAGAGATTGAGGTTTTTAAATACTTACCTCTAAAATAGAAATAGAAGGATTACTCTTAATATTGCTATAATCTTTAGCCAATATTTGATTATTTGTCTGAATTTCTACTAAAAATTTTTGTCCTGAGTTTCTGTGCTTCCATAACTGCATCATTATATTCAAGCTGCCATGTTTCACGTTCCCAAGTTTCTGACTGTGGTGGTGACTGAAGGTGATACATTTTGGGTTCAGGGCAGCCATAATGTTTTTTACTAGCCACATGATGTATAATTGGTTTTCCCATTTCTAAACGAATTTTGTTTTCATGTATTCTGTCACATACAAAACATTCAAATCCTGTGATAAATGACATTTTTTCTAAGTCGTTAACTCCCCATTCTCTTGATTTTATTCTTTTTAAAAGTTTATTATTTGTAATACCATTTTTTTTAAAGGCTAAGTACTTTGTATATTCACTTTCATTTTCAGCTACATGTCTCAAGTAATTTGCTAAATCCTTTGGACTTTCAAAATCATCAACAAGTATTGCAGATTTTTTATCAGGAAGCCATTCCAGAACATTAGGGGCACCTTTGTAAACTGGCACAGTGCCAGCTGCCAATGGCCGCCACAACTTTTCTGTTATATAATCATCACAAATTGCATTTTCAAATGTTAGAGCAAATTTGTATTTGCCCACGAAATCACGCAGTGAGTCATCATGCATTGTGAGTGGGCTTTTCAAGTGATTTGGTAGTTCTTTATTCTTCAAACATGCTCCATAAGAATCCACTTGTATGTATTTCATCAGCTCATGAATGTATGCATCACGGTCTGAAGGAGGATTACAGCCTGACTGTAGGAACATAGCAGGTGCAATATCTTGTTGATCTTTTTCATGAAAACTCATAAAAGGTTGCCTTTGCAGTTCTTCTAAAGAATTCATATACTGAGTCGTTATTGGGTAGTCAGATGTTTGTCTGAATGTTGATGTGTGATTAAAAAGTGAAATGAAGTCTTCATGATAAAATAAAACATTATTCTTTGGAGATTCTTCATGTAACACTGCCCACTCATGGTGTCCTATGTAAGATAATAGGAATCTTAAATGGCCATAATGAATAATATGCAAATTCTAATAGCTGAGTTTTTCTATCACAACTATCAGTCACAAATTTAGCACAATACTGCTTTTGATATAAAATCAACTTTAATCTAGGATGTTGTAACATTTGTGACCATGCCTTCTTAATCTTAAGTGGAAAGTTTTGCATAAAACATTTTGTAGTAAAATACTTCATAAGTTATAAAAAGTTAAATCAACATAAAATCATCATTATGTGCATTATCAATTTGAAAATAACTTTTGGCAAAAGATTTGCTCTCCAATTGCAAATTTGAGTCTCTAAATTGATAGAAATGTTTGAGCTATCTTCAAAATGGTGGATTTCAGGCTGTTAGGGGAATGGACCACTGACAATAGATAGTTATTGCAACAAAACATCATCTAGTTTTTAAAGTACCACTTCTCCATCAGATAAAAAGCTAAGTTGTAAGTTAACTGGGTGGCTAACCTTTTCTAGGAAGAGGAAGATCTGATGTGTTTATATTGGTTCCATAAAACATCAGGACTTTGGTGAGACGGTGGTCAAACAATGTTCTATCTTGTGAGAAGAAGCACTTCCCCTTTGAGCACTTTTTAACTGATCCCATATCACCTGTAAATGGAGTCCACCACAAAATGAAAGGAAGCTTGTTTGACTCAGCATATTGCTTTGGGTTCCCTATGTCTCTTTCGATGCGGTCAACATTGAAGTCATATCCATATGGAACTGAAACATTAATGGTGTGATAAGTAAAAAAAACATTTTATAAATACTCTATGCACAGTTGTACATTTTGTCAGCAGGTAATGAGGGTTTGCCTCCTGGGTAACCTTAACCCAAAAGGGGACCTTCTTTGTACAGGAATGAAGGATAGAGTAAGGTTGAATTAAAAACATATGAGGGGGTGAACTCCTCAAACTCATGGGTACTGAAAAGTAAGAAAATAGAAAAATAGAAATCAGTATCGATATGACAAACAGCTTGAAAAAAGTGCATAAAGCTTTGCTAGAAAGATACTTCTTATATAATTTCAAGCTTTTTCTTAAAATATGAAATAATTGATAACATTTTTGACAATAATCAATTGTTTGCCTGGTGTCATTAACCCATGATTTTTTTATAATAAAAGTCTCAGAGCTTGACCCCTTTGTTTTTTAAAGATAGCCATGTAAAGTGACACTCCAAATGATTCTACTAAAGATGGAAAATAATTATCTAAGATGCTGATAATAGAAGAAGAATTTTTGGTTGAATCAATATAGATAGCAAGAAGAATTACCTTTGATCTATTAGTTGTTCTGTTTTATGCAATTTTATGTTCCTTTTCTTGGTTTATAAAAATAGCTCATTAGCACTTAGTTTTTATGAAACTGTAAGAAGCTTTTAGTGGTATTATCAACGAAAAATCAAGATAGTATCAACAAAACGAAAAATTCCAGTTAGGGATGCTTTTATATTCCAAGGGCTCTAAGAAGTCCTTTGAACAATATGGAGCAAGGATTTGGAACTATTTGCCCAATTCATTGAGGCAATGTGACAATATTCACTCTTTTAAAAATAAATGTAAAATTATGGATGGATTCTAAAATAGCATTTTTAACAAACATTATAGGTTTATAACTCATTATTTGACTTTTGTACTAGGTTTTCACTAATTTTTATTTCCTTATTGGTTAAATTTAGATTATTTGTACTTTTAATTTGTGAACCAAACTGAAAACAAGTTTTCAAACTTAGTTTGTTATTCACATTAAAGATCATTATACATACATATACATACATACACAAGTAGTGCAGCGCTAAGTTACTAAAAAATGTGTCTCCCTCCGAAACAATCATACCGTCAGAATTATCCATTTTCTTTATTTGATCGAGAAGATCGCTCCGTTGAGGCATATTGTCCTTGTAGTCTTCAAACGAAACCTCATTTTCGCCCAGTCGTGTCACTTCATCCTTTGGTTCCACATCAGAGTCCCATTGCAAAATAAATTGACAAAACAGAAAGAATAAACCTGCGCATACTACGATCAGCAGGATTTCCCTTCTTGAAACTCTTGCGATCTCCATATCTAAACTTAACCTTTAGATTCCAAAAGTGATCACCAAATGCTCAATTAACGGTAAAGCATTTTCGTAAAAAACACAAACACTCAATCTGCATTGATTTTCTCAGAACCACGACAAGAATATTATTTCAAAAGAGGCCCAAATGCAAAGGAGGCTAACGTTTCTGCCGCCATCGTGAAGTCCCATTATGGCGGAGGTTGACGAAGATGAAAAGTACCTTTATGGAGAAAATAACGGTAAATTGAATCTAATAGAAGTATTGATTTGACGTTATCTATAAAAAGAATTTAATTCTGCAATAATATCTAATGCCATATTTGAAACTTTATTCAAGGTGCAAACTGAATGAATAAAGTAAATTAAAAATAACTGTTGACAATCTGAATAATGAAAAATGCCCATTCTTGCAGGCCAGGGCACTGATCTCAGGCATTCACAGTAATTTCAAACATGTTTTCCGCTTGCAAAAATCCAAAAATCCTCTCACCAATCATGTGGCGTGCAAACAATTTTTCCATATCATCTGCACTGAAATTGTGCACTGAAAAAGTACCAGGAAATCTTTCAAGCATGATATGGTTCGCTGAATCCATGCGAAAATGTTGTTCAACACCCACTTTTGTGGATTTCTGATAAAAGCTGTAATTTTGGCCATGAATGAAGGTTACAATTTTCTCTGGCACTCCAGAATCAAGACATCAGAAGTCAGAAGGTAGAATATTCACATGACAAGATAAACAAATATTGTGCACAGAATCTATGGCAGATTCTTAATAATGTGCAGGCGGAATGAAGGATAAAAATTATTTCCCAAATCTTTTCGGTCTGGGCAGAGTATGGCAAGTGCACACTCAAGTTTTTCTAAAGTTATCCCTGCACACCTGTGGCATTTTGAGATCTGGCCATGGCATAGGTGTTTCTTATTGCTTAGGGCAAACAAAGACTCACATGTTTCCTCATATCAACATTAGCTTGCATTGGTTTGATAGATATAAAATAACTATCAATCATGTCCATTTTCTTATCTTCTTTGACATTCCTGGGCTCTAGCATAGTTGCAGCATAGTTGTGAAGACTATATACACAATTGAAGTGCACACTTATACCACAGTGCACCTTTCACGTACTTTAAATTTTGCTCTTGCACACCCAAGATCGTGTTGGAAACTTCCATACTTTGCAACAAAAATAGATCATCATACCATTCTCTTTGGATTGATTAGGTTTGTAATTAGGCTGCAACAAAATTGCTGGCCATAGGCAAGGAATTTTTTGAAGTTACTGAAAATCACATTTTAAAACTTTGTCAACTTAGCCCTTGATGAAAATGCAAGGCCACCAATCTCATTGTGGAGAAACTATTCAAAAGTTTTTTCTGGCAGTTTTGTCTTCTTAAATCCCATATGACTGGAGTGCCAACAATTTTACCACTGTTCACTACTGTAGAATTGTTCATTCACTGTTTTCCAGCTGACAGGCCCTCTGTCAGATATAATGTATTGTTTATAATGTATTGTTTATAATGTATTGTTTATAAAGTCTATAATGTATTGTTTAATGGTCATCTATAGGTGAAGTCCTTGCAGAAGGTGGGAGGGTCTTTTTGCTTGCTTAGCAAAGAGTAGCAAGAAGTGGTTGAAGGAGACATAGGCAGGCACTTTTAGCATCTATATTGCAGTCTCCTACTATGACAATTGAGACTGGTAAATTAAAAGCAATAGGATAAATATAAGAATTAGAATTATTGAATTAGAAAAAACAATGTTGATGACCTTTTTACTCCAGATTAGGGGGCCCATTTATAAACTGTTAGGCAAATAAAAATAAAAATCAACAAATGGATGTCTTCCTGTTTTGTCTCACCTTTCAACTGCATTTTATGACCTAAAGTGGACAAAGTATCTTTGTCATGAAACAGGGAGTCAAATGAAGGAACAGCTAATAAGTTTTTCAAACATAAGATTGAAAGATTTAAGAATAATATGTAAGATTATTTTTTAAAGAAAAATTAGCCTCACTGACAAGCTTTAATCACCAAACTTGCTGACATTCACAGGATGGAATGCCTAAATATTGATTTGTGAGTCTTCCCTGTGCATAATTGAAAATGAGCCTGGTGATCTTTTCTAGATGATGCAAAAGCTGGAATTTCAGAGTTATTTGAAAAGAAGTGAGTGAGATATCTATGCTTGATTTCTAACATTGTACTCTGTTTCAAGAGAAATATTTGAATGAAGTCAGAACTATTTGAAACCACATGTTTTGCAGATGGTGTGTACATGTGAATGGGTATTTAATAGCTAGAGATTGAGAGCTTTCATTAAGATTATTTAACTCCGATTTTTTGCCTTTCAATAACTATTCTTTGTTAACAAGCTTTTTTCTTTGTCTAATTGGCTTGGAATATGCCAATCAGATCTAACAAATGTGGTTGTAGTTTCAGTGGATATTTCATTCCATCAAGTTTGCAAAACAAATTCTCTTTATAGGCCCATATGTTACTAGCAAAATTGTTTATCTAACTTTTTTCAAAGCATATCTTTATAATTCAAATATTTACGCGTATATTTATCTCATGAACTTATGCAGTTTAGCAAGTTTAGGAACTTTTTGAAAAGTATGTCACATTCAATAACGTATTTAGCCATTACGTTTCTATACCTTTTGTTTCAATGCTTTTATGTATCTGAGCCTCAAATGTCCCAAGGCTTTAGGGTTATCAAGGCCGCTACCTAATTGACAATTAAACTGTTTAATTTGCCACTATAATTCTTATTGATTTCATTTATTTGATATAGACTGAATGAAGTGAGTTCTGCCGCGTTGTTAACGAATATCACCAAAGTTGCACCACTAGAAAAAAATGAAGAGGAAGATGCAAAGGAAAACACAAAGGAAAGTGCTACAAATGTGAGTAGAATCTATTCTCAAAGCATCTGTGCTTTCTATTTAATGTGTCACAATCTTTCATTTGAAAGTCTATAATGTATTCTAAGGAGACAAATATATTGGTTAAACAGGACAATGATGACGAAGAGTCATATGAAGAAGATGATGATGATGATGATGATGACGATGATGTACAAGTGACCATAGATGAAATAAGTACAAGTGGTGCATATGGGTATGACTTGATGTTTTTATAAAATTTTGTTAAATAAATTTAAGCAAAATGCTTGGCAAAAATTAAAGTTGCAGTATTAATTCTTGTTTTTTCTTGTATATATGTATAATAAATAGCAGTTTAGTGATGTTTAATAGTTTCTTTCCTCATATCATTGATTTAGTTTGTTCTTATGCCATTGTTTTGTTATAAATGTTATATTTTGTTATGTCATTGTCTAGCAATATTTATCAAGTTTTTTGTGTCTTAGAAATTGTTTGGCAATATCTTATCACACTCCCTCTTAAACAATACAAACTTGGGTAGTCGCTTGTGGCAAGGCTTGCATATTCAATTCTGCTTTACTTTTTAAGGTTACATATATTTTAACCTTAAAGACATAGCCTTGGAAACATTTATGCATTTATGCAACCTTGGAAACTACAACAGAATAATATTAAACATCTTGAAAACTAATATATTTACTGCAAAAATGATTGTTCAGGCTGTGCCAAAAATGAACAAACAATTTGAATCAGGACTATGATTGCTGCCCACACATGCATCTTTTTCAGGCTTCTATAAACCCAATTTTTGTGGATAATTATTACCTTTTCAGGGCTCCTTTTGGAGCTGGTGTCAACTGGGCTGCCAAAGGGGTAGCTGGTGCTGCCAAACCAAGTGCAGGTAGGAAATAAAAGATTTGAGCACAATTATAATGGAACTCTTGGCAACTTATTGTAGCTTGTTTGATATATTGTTTGATGCAAATTTTCATTTGTTCATGACAAGGCACCAAGCAGATATGATGATTGCCAGAGATAATGACGTGTCAATGCTGCTAGACAGCACATTATGAATTCTGCTTGCATGATACAAAAAAGAGAGTTGAACTCAGTTTAACTTTTCAGACTTAATGCATGTTGTATGTCACAAGCACTGAAAGCAATCTTTAATAAGCCAGGTACAGGGTTATAGGCACTTATATGATATGGCAATAAAATTTTGTCCAAAATGGAGCTGTTATTTTGCTACACTTTTACAAGAATTTTTTTGTATCTTTCTGCCACTTACTTTTATACATACATTGGTATCACACCCCTTTCTTGATGAAGTGAAAATTGAAAGTCATTTTCGTATCATACAATATTTTACTAAACTATAGACCAACCTCTATCCTGTATATAATTTGATATTTGAGATAATGTAAAATTCTGGAAATAAAGTCTAAGCTTGTACAGTTTGGCCTTACATTTGGAAGTTACCTTATATTTTCTCATGGCAATTTGGTTTCTTTTGGAACCCAAGGTTTTTTGTGTGTAACAATTTTGACCTAGAATGCTTGTTTGTTCTTCCTTGTGATTGCAGTATATTTTTGACTATAGGTGCTTCTGGTGACACAAAACGCTTAGATATAGATGCTGTTGGAACAGTCAACAGTGTTTCAATTTATGAATATGACATGGACCTTGGGACTGATGAAAAGCCATGGAGGGATCCAGGTATCTATCATCAATTTATCAAACATGACAAAATGTAATGATAAGTACTTTAAGGTACTTATGAATTATTATGTATTCAAATCTGTTTGCCAGAAAAATTATGTTCTTTAGGCTTAGAAAAAAGGTAGAGCATTTTTGTATAGTTTTCTGTTGCCAAAACTTTCGATGATAAGGGCTAGTTTTGGTTTGGTATGTTGTTGCTTATGTAAGATAGATTCAACAGTTTTCGTTGGTTTTTCCCATCTATGGCATTTGCTTGTTGAGTAAAAATGTACATTGATAACCTCTTCGATGGAAAAGCTAATAGATTGCTTCAATTATAATGCCAGGGTACTGTTCTTGTTTTGCCTAAAGCTTTGTAAATAAGGATCGCCAGGCTGGCTCGCTTACCGTCGTTTTTCTGCTGCATCCAGGAGCTGATATAACAGATTATTTCAATTACGGGTTTACGGAGGACACGTGGAAACAATACTGCGAAAGACAACGAAGACTGAGGATGGAAGTCAATGGGCAAAAGAAAATTTATGTATGTGTAGTAGGGTTTTGTTATTGACGCTATTAGCCCCCGGTTTTAATTATATCACGGTAAACAAACAATGCATTGTGGCAAAATAAAATGTTCTGGTTATGTTAGAATAGTTTAGATACAGTGTTTTATAATTGTAAGGTGTTAAAGCTATTTAGGTTCTCAAATTATGTTGACGAAGGTCATGAGTTATGGTAATAAGAAGTCGATATCTGTGATGGAGCCTGCATTGTATGAGGTAGGCTTCACCTTTGAATGATGTACTAGAAAACTCTTAAAATGATAGTCAATTTAGATAGCAAATAATTCCAAAAAACAAGTTGTTTCAGTCTGGTATTTATAAAACACAAGTTGTTTCTCAATGACTTTATTTTATTTAAAGTTCTGTTTCATTTTGCCTTGTTTCAGACACTAGGCCAAGGGACCACTACTGGGGATGCTGCTGGTTAGCTATTTTCTTCCTTCAATTACAATTTTCCTTTAATTTGATAATTTCCCTGCACATCAATATGACACTATGCATGTCTCATACTCGTCTTGAAAGCTTCTTCGCAATCTAAATTTCGTTTTACAAAACAATTTCGTTTTGCATTTTTGCCAAAATTGTAAGAAAGCAGTAAGATTTCCTTTTTGGATTTTTGCATAGTGTCAGTTTTTTTATATTTTCTCTACCTCTCTCTTCTAAGTAAATTTGAAGGCCGGGCCACCACCAGATAGAAAAACAGAAGGGACTATTGACGTCATTGGAGGAAACAATTCACACAGTGAGTACCAATTGATTGAATCTATTGCTTTTGAAGCACTGTAGCTTACTTTTTCCTTGTATCATTGAATTATGTTTTGTAGACTACTTCAGTTAACCTTTATAAATATTATTCAGACTATTTCGGATTTTTATTTGCGAGCAGATTATTTTCAGTTGATTTGACCACTGTAGATTAATTCAGAAATTTTTTAAACACCTTTATAATCCATTTTCAGCTACTAGTCGACGACCACAGGATGAGCAACTAATTGGTTTCCAGCCCCCGGAGTTGAATTTCGCAGGAAGACCTGGTTTTCCAAGACCTTTTCCTGGCGGTGAGTACAGACATTTTAAGTTTCTGTCACCTGTTCACTGTTTCCAAGATGAAATTTCAATAGAAATGGGCTGTGAGTTCAATAATTCTTATTTTTACTTTGTTATCGTATTTGTTCCATTTTAGGTCCATTGCAAGTTGCTCAGCCAAGACTGTTCCCTCGTCACCCCAATCTTCCTGCCGGTCTGCGACCACCATTTATGCCTCCACCGATGGGGGCCGGATTCCAAATTCCTGTTGCACCCCAGTCAGAACCAAATGCTAACATGTCAAACCCTTCTGTATCTGGGGCACCCACAAGCTCTGCCACGTCACAGATCCCTGGATCAGCTCCAGATGGAACGGTGTCTAGCATGGCACCGCCGCATGTTATGATACCCCAAATGGGGGGACCTGGCGGTCAATTACCGCCACATATGTTTGGACCAGAAGGTTAGCCAGCTTTTATTGCAATCGTCATTCTGTATCAGCAAAACATCAGCAAAAGAAACTCGATTTTTTAACTCCAATTGTTAACTTGCATGCACTCTTTATTTTCCTTTGTTGAAATTTTCAAAAATACACATAGCAAGAAACTGACGTTAAACTCTCTGTCATTTAAGGCTTTAGTGATTTGCCTATGCTGTAATAAGCTTTAAGGTTGTAGATAATTTAAAGATTCTTGTTCTTCTGCACTGCAGGTTTGCCTCCAGGTATGCAGTTACCTCCAGGAATGCCAGGCGCAGCTGACTTATATGGAAGAGGTAATGCAACTTATTCACTTGAATTTAATATTGAAATCTCACTTCTGATTTTCCTTACACATTTGATTGGTTGCATTTTTCAATGGTAGACCATTCACGATCGAGTTGAAAAGCATTCATATCAATTCATTGTTAATATGTTTGTTAAGCCTTATGCTTTAGACAAGTCTCTATTCCCTACGCCCCCCAAATAAGCACATTCATGCCTCTCAAATGCATCACCTCGGTACCTAAAGCTTCAAAATCACCCACTTAAATATTATTTTGTTGAAATCCTCGACATTCTTCCAATGATATCACAAGCAGTCTGTGTAACTATTTATTTCTTTGTCTCGCTTTTTACTTAAAAAATCAAAGCGTCTTTCGAACACTATTATTCAATGTGTAAGTGATTTGCATTGTAAACCCTGAAGGCTTTACATCAAATCTTTAGGTGGTGATCGCTGCATTATTTTAAAGAATCATCCATGGTTTTACGTTTGCTTGAAGATGCACAGAAATTTTTGCACTATTCCTAAAAGACTGGCATAAGTTTATCCTTAACAATTTTTTTTCCTAATAACCACTTTGAAATTATTCGAAATACTAGCAAGATAAGTCCAAAATATCAGGTGAATTTACAGACAGCGTAATGATTGACATCTGTATATTTTTACGTAGGGCCAATGGATCCTTTTATGCCGCCAAATGCTAACGTACCTGGCATGTTTCCTCAATGGGATATTAATGCATTGCAAGGAGGAGATTACTCACGAAGTCCCGAGAGGACAGAGAGAGAACGAGGGGAACGAGGCAGCGATGCTGATAGTGATTCTGAAAGTAGGAGACACCGACGAAGAGACAAGGATCGCCATAGGGAGCATCGGGACCGGTAAGATGTCATCTTTCTCTAGCTCTCTTTATAGCCCCTCTAATAGTGATTGTTGTAGTTTTCATGCGAGGTCAATTAATAAAGTCTTTCGTAATAAGTTTAAGGAAGGGATGTCTTCTAAATTCAACATTGAAATTCAACATTGAAATTACTCTCCAAGGTCCTCCTAAGCCACGTGAGAGATTTAAATGAAGGAAACATCTCTTGTCACAGTTTTCATTAACGACCGTGCAATTCTATGGATGTTTTTTTAGTCAGAGTCTATCAATGTTCTTTTGCAAGCAGGAGTGTTGCCCTGTTGACCGCTTTGTGTTTCCCATAACACATGTTTTTGAAGTGTGAATGGTCTCAAAAGAAGGTATAAGAATCAAGAAGTTTGTAATTTTTTAGACTGAGATGGAAATGTTTATCAGATTGGCGAATGGTTTGGAAGAGCTTCCGAAGGCAGTGTCAGCCTGAAAATAACAAGATTGTGAACATTTTCCATTGTCTTCTTTTTTCTGACTGGCGAAAGGGGTACTAGTGAGGCAGTGGCATTCATTTTCTTCCTTATGACCTGGATATTCAAATTAAATCTTTATTTTGGCAGAGACAGGGAGAGTACCAGAGACAAAGATCGTGACAAAGACCGCGAAAGGCGGCATCGAGACCGAGAAAGTCGAAGGGACAGAGACAGGGACAAAGACAAGGATAGATCAAGGACAAGAGACAAGGTAAATTGTGATATAGTTTTAATTGATTCTGCTTTGCCATGTAAATAAATTGCTTCATAATTGTTGACAGAATTCAATTTATTAGAGCTTTCCGTCTGATATCTTTTGGCTCCATGTTGATATCACCAAATACGATTAAATCACCTAACCTTGAGTCAAAGTTCATTCTTGATATCAGCAATTATTTTTTGACCGTTAGGGACTGTAACTGCTTGTTTGGAATTGCTTTTTAGATAATGGTTTTAGACCATCTCGATTTTGTTATAACTAGCCTCGATTCGGAACAGATTTTGTCCCCCAACAATTTTATACCACTTTGTTTCTGTTATCATGTTGCCACTAATTGAATTCCAGGACAGGTCATCTCGTCGATCAGAACGATCAAGGGACCACAAAAGTGATAGGTCAGCCTTCTTCTGTTATAGGAATTAATGGGCATCCTCAACCTCGTTTCTTTAGAACAGCTTACATTGTTTGAAGTACATAGCTACTTTATTGTTTCATTTAGTTGCCAGTAGTGTTAACATATGTCTTGATAAGAAATTTATTCTGGAATGCTGCAGAATTTGAGTCTTGGGTTGAATCTTTATGTTATTTTGTTTCGAATAAGACAAAAATTTCTCCCGACAGCATTGGTTGCAGCCGTCACTGCACAGTGGCAGGTAAAAGGCCTAACCCGTCAGATGAAGCTCTTTTAGCTCATTTTATTGCGGTATAATAGGCTTGAAAAGCGACGACATTCCCCAAAATCTACTCTCTACAATTTATCAAAGGTGGATAATGTTGTTACTCAAAATCCAATCCTTTGGCGCTGTCACACTTTTTTCTGCACATAGATTCTAGGCAGCGCTGCAGCGCTTTAAAAAAATTTATTATTGTTTTGATGTATCATGTGTATGCATTGCCCATAAACTGTTTGTCTTTACCAGGAGAAAACATCGCTCATCTAGCAGGCAGAGAGACGAAAGTGAAGAGGGTGAAACGCCGCGAAAAAGATCTCGAAAGTCGCGCCATTCTGTTGAAGAAACCGCATACCAAGGTGACGGGCAAAAGGAAGAAGGTGAAGCCACTGAGTAACCGTCACGCTCTTCGTTTCATTGATGTCGTTTCCGTTTGCTAGCCTCATAGTGAATGATATATGCACAAAAGGCTTGATACTGAAGACAGAGCCGTATTGGAACGCGTAAAAAACATTATATGGGATGGAATCCTTATTGCAATACAATGTCTTGATATCTGAGACTCAAGAATGAATTTAAATCAGGTGTTTTAAGATCAATCGACGTTTTAAGTATTGACTAAAATGTCACAACCATTTAGTTGCTTTGTAAATTGATGATAATATGGATAACGTAAATATTTCTTTTCTGTCCATGTCTATATCTGTCTGGGACGGCTTGCAACGCTGGTGCCTTATGTTGGTCTTAAACTTATCTTCAAATCTGGTTGCAGCGAGCCTTAATATGTCGCAAGCCAATTGAAACCTTTTCGAACTACCTGAGACTTGCATGGGAGCATCTTTTGAATTCCCCTTCTTACGCTTATGCAATTGCCATATTTGTGAAGCGACTAAGCTTATTCTAATTCCAGGAATTTGTTCGGCTTGCAGCCCATATTTTCCATTGACAATAGTAGCTAGCAGTTATGTTAGAAATTTACTGAAGACGATTTTAAACTTTGCAATGTGACGCAGAAATAACAAGAGATTAACTACCGTTAATATTTGAATTTTGGGTTGTTTATTAGCCCTAAACTTTTCTTAAGAATCCTATTAAAACGTAACAACCGAAAGATCTTGCTATGTCTAGTTATGTCATCCAACGTAATCTTGCTACGCCAAACCGTGCCGCGAGCTGCGCGTTCACAACCCATTTTGTGATCGTGTCTCACGAGTCAAGGATGAAAACAAATCCCTAGTTTGAAAGAATCAAAACAACAACAGAAAAACGATTGAAAGTAGCCAATAAGATATAAATATAAATTTCACCAAAGTTTTATATGTCGTATAAACAGAACCAAAAAGTTACCTAACATCGTTTTCATGAAAACCTTAGCTGCAACTAAAACTACTATACTCGGAAAAGTCAATTGGTAAATTAAGGTAGATAGCATATCCAAGTTTCAAAATTGTATAATGCATCGGTTATAAATTTACTTAATACAATGTATATATAATATATGAATTAATCTATAAATTGCTAACGAAGTATAAATTGATATTATTGTTTGTCCAGCTAAAAGATTTCATATGTATTTGACCTTCAAATATTTTTACATAAAAATATCTTAATACATAGTTAAATTTCGGATAAACTAATGCTGGTTGCTTTTGGCTAATCCGTCAAGGCCATCCATATTCTCTTGGAAAACTTTGAACAGGCCTGCACAAGAGTAATTCTCTGTAAAATCGCACGAGAATTGATGAGTTTATCTATGGGCCTAACCTAAATTTGTAAACGAGGATAGAAACTCATTCAAACAGTTAGCTTTTAAGGTGTTTTAAATGCATGAATCTGGTAATTATAAGAAAAACGTTCCTTAAAAAGGTTCGTGAAAGAACAAACAGAAACTTAAGAAATTGATTTGAGAGAATCTCTAAAGATTGAGGACATTTTTTTAGAGAGAATCCCTGAAAATTGAGAACAATGGTTTTGCAGATCTGACGTTGGACTTCCAAAGGATGGCAATGCCGGGTTAGCTCAGGGTTGAGTTAACAAAGGGAAAATTTATCTTTTCTACTAAAACGCCTTGCTCGAAAACGTTCTGGCTGTCTATTTTAACATTAGCAAATCGAAATATCAAAGTCCTTTTTCATCATATTCTTGAAAAAAGCTTAAAAAATGGATAACAGCTGCAACTGCAGGCATAGCTTCAATTATTGGATTCAAATAATTATTTTACAACGTCCAAAATTTAAATGCGAAACAATTATTGCCTTTGATTGTCATGGTCAGATACAGAAAGTGGAGCCTTTCGAATTTGGGGAAAGCACGTGATGGAAAGCTTAAATACTGTAACAAAAGATCTGACCATGGCAAAGCATCTAACAGCAAGGAGCACTCTGTCCTATTTTAAGAACAAATTGGTTTACATCGACTTGCTAAACTTTACCCTTTTTCTAATTCAACAAGTTTAAGTATGAAGTAATCATTTCTTCTCCAAAAATTAATCGCTATGCCAACAGTTGCTTGTATAGTTGATCCCCGTTATTAAGAAAAAGCAGCCTGGTATATTAGGTACTCTATCAGTTATAAGTCTTATGCTTCATAAGTGCTGCAACCTAAAAAGTTCCATGCAATCTTAAGGTTATAAAAGGTAATAAAATGAGAGCTTTTCTTAACAACGGCAAATCAATATACGATTTAACGATGGTTACAAAAACCCACCTTTGTATATGTATTACATACAAAATGGTCCAAGGGACAACTCACAAAATTTATGAAGATAGTATTACATGTTAAGCAGGGATTCTACTCTTAAGAAATGTAAACCTACTTTTAAAAATGATACACAATAGTCTGTGGCAAAATGTCAGTCACAAATACGACAAGACATGAAAAACCCACTTAAAAGACTAATAAAACGAATTTTCTACTGCATCTTTTAAACGACAGTTGAATTTAAATCTAAACTACAAAACTTTGCCTTTTTTAGTTACGACAAGGCAAATCCAGACCCCCCCTGAAAAGATGGAAGGCTCAGATAAACCTTACATAAGGTAAAATGAAAGCGCATATATATTCATTACAGACTAGGGGGTTAATACCCATTGGGAATGAGCCAACAATTGAAAAGTCGTAATTTATTGCTTGATAAGTAGCAAAACACATTAAATTAATTATAAAGAAAACAACAAGAATATGCAATGGACCTCAAAAACAATTAACGACAAAGATAACAGTTACAAAAGGAAGTCAATGATAGGGCCCACCAAGCAGCTTACTGACTCTGAAAAAAATGAATGAGACAGTCCCGTTTTCTAAGCGCGCAAATATAGATTAGGTCAAAGGCACTCAATCATATCTCGCCTCGATCCCATGCCCAACCCAATATCATACAGAGAGGTATCAGAAATTCGGGACTGGAATTTTCAGATTATTTATCAGGGCCCTGCAACACAAGGGCACTATAAAAAGGGACCTTCTTTGCTGTTTTTAGGAACAGTGCAACGAAGGAAGAGTATGGTAACTATTCAATAAAAAATGGAGAAAGCTACCGCCTATATTTCTGATATTTCCCTCCCACAAAATACCCCACTGGCTCACTCAAAAGTTATCGTTGAATTATCAATGAATGAAAATATTATGTTGTTCTTATTACACATACCCTTCCAACCGAATATCCCTTGAGAAGAAACTCTGAGCGTTCAATCATTTCAATTAAAATGGAATAACTGAAAGACTTTGAAATTTTAGCTTTGACTTTATACAAACTTGCAGGTCAGTTTCAGAAGCGTTGTAAGGCTCACTTGTTTTAAAGGAGTCTCGTTGCTTCAACAACAACAACAAAAGTAAATCAAAACAAGGCCACGTTTATCACTAATTCTAAAGAAACAGCGAAAACCGAGAAGACGTCAATCAACCTTCCAACTTTTCTAAAAGGATGTCAACAAAACTCTTTAATTGTGAACAGTCTTCTTCACATCTTTGAAGTTCCCGTAAAAGCTGGAAAAACATTAAGAGTGTAAGTCACTGTGCCTTGCTTTAAAAAACTTCAAAACTACAAAAATGGGCAGTATAGGTATTAGACAATTTAAAATACATCCTTGCATAGTTTCTTGTGGCGAAAACTTGAAATTATGGATTGAAAAATAGCATAAACAGAAAGATAAGCTGTTTAAGCATTCAATGGTTTTCACAGTGAATTTTACCAATTCATTGAAAATATAGATACTAGAATACGAGAAATAATTCATTGTGAAGTTTTGTCATGTAAACAGATTGACGGGAAATCACATGCAAACACTATATAATATGGATTATGTAAAATCTGGCCAACCAGGGTAAAGTCATATGTCTCTAGCTGTTATTAAAACGCATCACATATACATTAAAAAGATCTGCACAACCCAAAACTTTTCACCAGCAGAAAATCTTGTCACAGATTTACTTTGACGCAATAACGAAAGTAAGTATGAAAATTTTTTAACTCACTTGACTTTTGCTTGCATTTCTCAATTTATCTAATGACTTCTGACTCCTTTTTTGCAATGTGGGCATTTCTTTTAGGATTTCTAGGTTCTTCTCTTTTACAAACGAAATCAACGCATCGATGTAGTATTCCAGTTTGTCGCAGCTGTCTGTTAAGCTTCGCATGGCTTGCAAAATCTGAAAAGAAACGAATCTCAATGACACAAAAAATTCAAAGGCATGATTGCAAACAGTTTTTTGGCTGTATAGAATTCTAAAATATAAACAGACGGGTCAACATTTTCGGAAGATTTAAGTGATTCCAACGAGTGCTTAGCGAATAATTTTTCCCGTCAAACACCATATGCTTTGACTGAAAAGGGCAAAGGGGGCAGCATCCGAAAAGGGACGGCTTCATTTCGGTCCTTATTTGTAAATATCTGTCAAACCAATGGTAATCAATATATCAATTGGAACCTCCTGTCACAAAACGGAATGTAAGCACATGCGCAGTATAAACTTAGATAATTAATGAAAAAGGCCCGAACGATAATCTTATTCAAGGTACATCGGCCTTCCGGGCACCAAGCCAGAGGAGCGACTAAAGGGGGGCATAATTTTATCATTTAGGGGTGCCACGTTCCCAGAAGAACGAAAATCAATGTCCCACCTTTTCAGTCAGTGCAAATAAAATAACCAAAAAATAAAAAATCTGATGGTTTAATCATCAAAAATCTGATAAAGAATACCATTTCATTGGAAGAATCTTCCAGTTCTTTGAACAGGAAGCCATCTTTATTATCTTCGTTGTTTGTGATTGTAATTCTTTGTTGAGTCTGAAAAAGAGCATCATAAATGTGATAAGTTTAAATTTTTATATACAGACGAATATCTCATATACGAATAGTTTTGAAAAAGGAGATTATGCTTAACTGGCATAACAAATATCACAAAGTACCATCCTTAACACCCTAACAAAAATGTAAGGAACACCTGTTTGCACAAACAAACTCCTTGCTAGATGATGGTATCTAAATATAGTGTTATATATCCTGCCTAAGGTTAATCGTTTTTAAGGTTAATGGTCCTGAGGAGAAATGGTCCTAGGAACATAAGTTTTACAATGACCTATACTGATCTAGGAATAAAAAGTTAATGTAACATTGCGAGTTACTAACTTACAATACATTTAAAGAATAACAATAACGAAAACCAACATGCAAAGTGCGATTTGGAGATTTGTGACATTAAATTTTGACAATTCGCTAGAGGAAATGTTTGAGACATTAATTAAGTGAGCACCAACGTGAGCTCACTTGAGTGCAAAAAAATTAGAAATAAGTGAGCACCAACGTGAGAACGGAGATATTTTAAACAGCTTGCGTAGAAAAAACAGCAATAAAGAACGCTTTAATATGATGCTGGAAAAGAAATAATTGGGAATTCAAGGCTAACCTGTTCCTTTAATTCGTTCACTAACTTATCTTTTTCTTGTTTACACTGTTTGATTTCTTGTTTTCTACTTTTTGAAGATGACTGCAATTCGAGCAGGGCAATATTAGAATCTTTCTCAGAAATTGCCGCCAGTAGTGCAGTTTGCCTGAAAAAGAAACAGCTGAGATCAAAATAGGAGCCTCCTTTTGAGGTGGAGGGTGGAAGAGTGGGTCAGCTCAGAGGATGACTGAGGAGACCTTAAACATTACAGTCTTGAAAAACAAATATCAGAGATGTTTTGGTGAATATTATAATGTTTATAGAGTTAAGCTACATCTTGAATAGAAACTTTTATATTGCATTCTTTTCGAAGATTATGCTTCTCGTATTGTCAGAAGATTGTCACAAAACTTAACAGAAAGTCAGATGACTTCTTGTCAAGATAACGTACAAGATGCAACTGATAAATCCGTCTAAATTTTGTTGTCTTGAACGACTGAAGCCCAATGCAAAATTAAAACCGCTTTGCCAAAAATGGAATCGGAATCACAGGACAAAAATTCAAGGTGATATTGTACTTAACAACCAATCTTTTAATGCTCACTCACTCTGTCGAAAATAAAATAAGCTCCGGTTTTATAATTTGCCCGAACATGGGCACAAATAGAAAAAACAACGAATAAATGACTTAACACACCTGATATTCATAAGCTCCTCCATATTTCGTTTTTTCATTGCCTTTAACGATGCCAGCAAAGTATCTCTTTCAGCAAGCGACAATATGAGAAAAGCGTTCTTTATATTCGTTATTCCCTTCTCCATAGTCAGTTTATCAGTATCTGTTTCCAGCTCTCTCATAGACTGAGCTGCCTCTTCTGAGAATTCAACATGTTGTGCAAGTAGCTCCTCCCTTTCTGCTGCAATGCTCACACTTTCCCGTAGTGCATCTTCTAGCATAGCGATTCTTTCATCTCTCTTTGTGAGTTCCTCCTTCATAAAAAAGACAGAAAATAATAATGAGATAAAAAGGTACAGTGAGAATAGTTGGAAGCAAAGAATGAAAAATTTAAAGGAATTTGCAAGGCAGGCAAGTGGGTGATGACAATAGCAATGACTGGTCTTGGCTTTTGATAATTATCATGATTACTATTCGCAACAACATGCGGTTATCAGCACAAAAAACCCTAAGAGTACGCGAAAACCCAGTACCAACAAACCTTGAACTCGACCAGTTGCTCGCTGCTGTCGCCGTCTTTCTTTGTCTTGTCTGTTAAAAATTGTGTCTGCTTTTCCAAATTCTGCGTTTTCCTTAAAGAGCTAAGCTGTTTTCCGCGATCTTTTAATTGCCTGCAACGAATATAGGTAAATCCATCACTGATTATCAGAGAAAAAGATACTAGTTATTAAATCCCATACTAACTTCAACTTTATAAAACATCATAAAGTTCGCTTTGATGTACAGAACAGGACATTTCTAAGTTTCAACTCCGTGTTTCACGCTTAATGCCATCATCACGCAACTGTTCGCAAAATAACCTCAAAGTGCCTTAATTTTAGAACTTATTGAACCATCCATCGAATCTCTTCAACTCTCTCGGGTGCAGCTGTAAAATTCAGTAATACACGGTACAAGCTGAGCAAGACAAGCTGTTGAGGTGAAATAAGCAATTCCCGAGGTGGATTATGGTTATGGAATAATGAGGCTAGCGATCAACAGAAATTGCCCATCGATACAATATGACAGACATTGCTTTAGAAATCAAAAAAAGCACGAGTAAAATACAGAATATAAGTTATTAACATGAGGAAAACATAAACTGACAATTTCGTTATTAAATCAAGCAGACAAAATACAAACAGTTTGAAAAGTTTAAACTTACTTTTCGAGATCCTGTAATTTGCTGTCTTTCTTTGCAATCTCATCCCACAGCTGCTTTATCATTTTGCTGTCCTTAACAGGAGAATTTCCGGAAAATCGTTTTTGCGGATCGTCTACAACTTTAAGCGAATTTTTATCGTTCTCCTCTTTATTCTTTTTCTCGTTCAAAGACTTTTCAAGGTTCTTGATCGTGTCATTTGTCTGTAAAAAAACGCAGATTATCAAAAGATGATCATAAATCGATGAAAAATCATGCAACTAAAATCATTGCCACAGTTATTACATGTTATTTAGAGATACGCTAGCGTGTACAGCTCTGCCTATACGGTATCAAGCACTTTATGCAGACCGGTAAACAGTAATTTTCATTATTTCCGAAATCTGTTATTTTATGCTATTTCGTGATAAATTTAATGATATAAATATATAGAGATATGTTTCAGAGATGTCTTATTTCAGAGTTATGAACTGGATTCACGACGCCTCAAAAGTCAGGGATGATCTTTAGCAGTTTGAATTATCAGGTGTACCGGGGGTCGAAAGCATATCGAATACAAAATTAAGGGTCGCGTCGATCTTATTGACATACTTAAGACATCATAGGCAATACAGAAATCAAATCATGGCCGAATTTCTTGGGTCACAAGCAGCTGGAAAAACGTTGCTACATGAATTGACTTCAAACATATTGAAGCTTCATTCTGTAGGAAGAAATTAACACCTATTCGAAAAAAATTAATGAAAGATAAAAAAAATAATAAATTCAGAAGATTTTAAGCATTAAAATTCAACATTAAATTTAATAGTTTTTAATCTTACACAAGGGCGTAAATCATGTTACAAGCATTTTAGGTTCGCTCAGCTCTTAGCTTTATAAAACGTAACCTGACAGGGTAGTGATTGGGGTTAAACTTTTATGTAGAATTATCGGTGTTGTAACTTGCAAACCCAAATCAGATCTATAAAAAATATCTCAACTTACTGCAGCTAAGTTTTTGGTCAAAGTGTCAATTTTATCTTCTTTTCCTACCAATGCCTCTTTTCCTTCTTCAATTTCACATTGGCTCCTATCTAAATCGTCTTGGAGCTTCTCAATCCTTTCTTCTAAATCTTTAATTAACGTCTGAAAGAAAAATAATGTTTTGAAGTATTTATACAGATGATAGTCGTAAACCATACGTTGCAATTTCTCCAGCAAATGCAATTATTCTTGGGTAATAACAGATGCTTGGGTAAAGTGTAAATGCTTGAGTCCATCATCCCATATATCACTTCAAATTATATCCAAGAGTCCACAAGCGGCAAACAAGGGCAACTAAGATCTTTGTGTTATGGCTTCAGGGTTCGTGATAATAATGATAGAGATCATATTATACCGAGAAGAAACAAAGATGAAACTGATAGATAGCATTCTTTGATACCACATCACTTTTTATCGTGCAACATTAATAGAAATTGAAAAACAGAGGGGATAACATAACTTATCCAATATGCACTGGTCTTGAAGCTCTTTATCAATAGGCTTTGAAAACTATGGAAGAGTACGATGGTTGAGATCTTTGCGCAAAGATCTACATGCTCTAACAATGTTACCACAGACCCCGATCCGAAACCCAGTGCCACTAGATATACTTTGCGACAGAGCGTACCTCTTTTTCCTCGACCTGTGTTGCTAATGACGTCATTTTAGCCTCATTTTGCTCTTTGTTGTTGCTAAGATTCGACGTTTCCTCCTCCTTTTCCTTCTCCAAGCGGTTGCGCTGTTTTTCTAGCCTCGATATCAGCTGGTCTTTATCAGCGATTTGATTTTCCATGAATTTGATCGTTGTCGTGCAGTTTGCATGTTTGGATTTGACATCATTTAACTCGTCACGTGCGTGAGACAAAGCAGTCTCTCGATGGGATAGGTATCCTTCAAGTGCATCATACTGCAAAATACGGAAAATAGAACCCAGAATAAAATTAAACAGAATTATTCGTTTATAACATACATACCATACATGCCTAGCCGATTATTCCTACAGTGCTTAGAAATAAAAAATTGCTATTTTTTCTTATTCCTTTTCTAATTACACCCTATCATCGAAAGTAAAAAAGTTGACAAACTGGTATTACCACAATGGATTCTACTAGCCAGATTTTCTAGATCGAAACACATACGTTAGATATCTCAGAAGTAGCCAAGAATTAACAGGTGACAGCCTTTTGTGAAACGGCGTCGATTGCCAAACACGCTACGAGAATAACCATTCAGAATGGCTTGGAGAGGTTAACCGTAAAAAGACTTGAAAATAAACCTAAATTGCGAGGCTATCTACCTTCTTAGTTAAACTTTCTAATTCCTTGCTTTTACCGTCAGCAACGCTTCGCAAATCTTGGACTTCCACTGACTCCCTTCTCCTCATCACTTTCAAATTAACCAGACTTTCCTCGTGTTCTTTAATAATTTCTTCCTTTTTCTCTACAGTGACCTTCATTTTTTCGACCTGAAAATGAAAAGAAAAAAAAATTGCAAAACAGTTTCCTTCAAAATTTCCTTGCCGTGCCAGGCCCACTGTCAAGGCTGTTTTTATAACGAAAATCCTCAGTCATCCTTCAATCAAGCAGTTTTTTTCAATCAAAGCGCAATAGAACACGCCAGCAGAAAAGGAAGCGATGCAAATTCTCGGAAACCACGGACCACTGCCCTGATTTAGCCTCGGGGTATACACAAACAGAGTTAAGATTAAGTTTCGAAGTGTATAGGACGAGACAGCTTCAGCGAATAGCCAACAAAAAACCGACAGAAAACGTGCGGCTGTTTCGTGTAAACTGGCCATCAGCAATTAATAGTGTCGAGTGTAAATGAGACTTGGGTTTTCGGATTCAACGGAAAAAGTGTTAATAGAGCATAGGACAGAACAAACCTCTTCTTTTAAGAATGACAGTTCGTCTTCTTTATTCTCAACTTGTTCTTTCGTTTTTTCCAAGTCCTCACAAAGCTCTAGAATTTTCGTCCTCGTATCCTCCAGTGTTTTCTGCAACGACTTGCACTCTTCAATACTCGTTTCAAGATCAACTTGAAGTTTCTTTGTCTACAAAGATGAGGTTTTCAAATAACAAGGATATGATACAGAGTTTGGGCTCTTTACATTGAATGTAAATTGGCGCCAGGTGCCCGACCTTAGTTGCCAGAGATTAACTAGGTATTATTCTTATTACAAATTTGTAAGACTACTTCCTCCAAAACAGGCAAACCGTTACAATAACGTTTATAAGACTACGTAGGTGAGTTATGTAAGAATTTAACCAGCTTAATTCAAAATTGAACGGCAGAGAAACATACGTAAAAATGGGAGGCAATGGCGTGTAGATATGTGGGAAAATTTTGGCAAAGGGTATAAGAAATGCTGGTTATAAGCAGTTATTAATGAAAGGATAAAGTATCTATGATAAAGAAACAGAACCAAAAACATTGTTGATATGTTATCTTGATATCCCACTTACAAATAATCTAATCTCTATGCTCATGAAATATCAATCACTTAAACACTCATTACATAAATAACAAAGAGATAAAAATGAAACAGCCACTCCAAAGTCAAATTCCTGCAGCGAAATTTCTGATGTCTATTACGAAAATGAAAATATCTATTATTTACATGACGATATCCATTGCTCACAATCTGGATATTTTGGAAACTTTTTCTGTTACTAATCATTGCCAGAAGTTGGTCACGAAGGCCTTGAATATTGCCGAGTGTTATTCCAGCTTTCGTTTAAAGGTCTTGTGCAATACTTGCGAGATTCAACACTAGCTTGATGCAAAGGGGATTCAAAATGTATTAACAAAAAGAGGATGAACGGTGACTTAACGTAAAGTAACAACAACATCGGGATAACTCTCAAACGTATATGTCTACTGAGCATAGATAATCAGTGATTGAACAACTTGTGCGTCAGGAATTAGAGCGTTTAACGAATTGTGGTGAGTGCACATTGCTTATGAGGCTACTGAAGAGAACAGATTGGGTTCAACGCATTGACAACCCCTACCCCCCCCCACCCGCCACATTTAACAGACCATCATGATGCCTACCTATTTAGGAAAAAGTGACTGTACATCATTTTAGGGTAGCTTCAGTGCTTTGCCAACTTCATTTATAATACTTTAAACGGCCTATATCGTATGGAAAGGGTACGGCCGGAACTGCGGAGCCACCGAGGAGGGCGGCTTGAAGCTAGCCGTGGAATACAGCGTTTCATTGGTCATGGACAACTTTCATGTCTTGTTGGGAAGAGGGTCGCAAAGTATTGTAAGAGTGAGTACTGTACTCCAGAATCAGATGGAACCCAAAGCTCTTTTCTAGTTAGATTCGGAGAGCATAGAGAGATAACGTCAAATGGTAAATTATAGGCTGATTCTACTGTTAGTTAGTAAACCAAGACAAAATCGGCTATTGCTAGCAATGCATCATCGATGAAAGACATTACATTTATTGCACATCAAAGATCAGTACTGCATGGAGGTCATCAACATCAATGGCATAAATAAAATGACCTCTTTCAAAAGCAGTTCTTCAAGGCAAGTAACAAAGTCAAAACAACATTTCTTTCATAAATCGTTTTAAACTTGCCACGAAGACCGACCATCCCGGACAAAAATAGCCGAGACTTCTCAAGGATTTTACCTTTAATTTGAAAAATAAATGTTCCCCCTCCCCCAATTCAACGATTTTGAAGGAGAAATGATAGAACTACAAATGAATCCAACAATGAATTGTAGCTTTTAGTTTTGTCCGGGATTGAAGCTATGAAGACCTTTGATTGGATACCATTAAAAAGGATCGAAGACGGAACGCGACGGAGATCATAATATCGCCGAAACAAAAAAAGCAAAAAAACCGAAAGATGAGAAGAAATTGGGAAAACATATCCGGTTTAAGAAAATCCACTGTAGGTCAAATTGGAAATGATTGAATAAAATAATCATACGTTTACAACAAATAATTTTATTCCACTGATTGGAGGTACGTAATTACGCATTTTGTAAATTGCCTCGTGATTAGATAATGTCTTGTGTCTCGTAAAATCATAGCTGGCTTATGATAACTTGATAATTTGATTTGTAAATGCAAACTCCAGCCAAAGAATCGGTAAAGCAAACTCCAGCCAATGAAATCTGACGTAACCAGAAAAGGTAATATTAAATAAAATGCTGGATTAATTATCTAGCAGATGGAGACAAAAGCTAAAAAATTAGACCCAGCGCAGAAAAGCATTTCGAAGTAAGTGAGATTTGGTGGTATTTCTTGCTACCAAATGGGAACTTGTGTTTTCAACTTTGTTTCTGCAGGGCTCACGCCACGAATTTGAAGTGGGGGGGGGGGGGAAGCCAAAAATTTAGGTGCCATGGCTTCTTACCCCTTTTACTACAGCTTTAAAACTACTTGCTTCGCAAAAAAGTTGAGGCGGCCATGGCCACCCCGGCTGCCCCCCGGTGGCGCGGGCCCTGTTATGGGGCAAACTGAAAGATGACATGTTTTTACAGTATAGATTGTCAGCAAAAGCATTCAATAGGTTCAAGGAACGAAGAGACGGATAAAGTTGGAGCTCACACGTCGCAAACCAAAAACAGTACCTTTTTGGGATAAAATCTGACAACAGCCTTCTTTTTAGGTTTGAAATTGAATGTTAACATAAATAAAATGTGTGGCTAGAGAATCTTGTCCAAAAACAGACAAGAATGATCGTCAATGTGACTGATCCTTCTTAAACATTTGGCAACTGGCGACCAAAAATACGTTTCTAATCAAGTGAGTTACTAACAGTGACGTAATAGACCCAGGGTTCATTCATACCCTTAGGGGTCCATAAAAAAAATCGTAACTCATTTTTAGAAACCATCAATCGCTTTATCGGCAGACTTCCAATATTTTGGCCCTACGCTTTTTCGTGACGCCTGTTTCATTCTTGAAAATTATTCAAATTCAAATTCGATTTTGACACAATCTCTCCAGCAAAAAAGCAGTATAGACAGTGTAGGGCACAAAGCTTCGCTTAAACTCAAAGAATAAGAGGCGGAACTCTTTGCATAAATTCATGGCCTAGGTCACCTGCCGGTTTTCTAACAACAAAACACATTTGATAGTTCTGTGGTTATAAAAATTGTAAGTTATCTGAAATTCAACCACGGTTTGTTTTCAATGAATGGGCAGATTCTTTGGCTAGCCATGTGAAAGCGAATGCTATCGTAAGATTGGCCTCAAGCAAACGTGCAAAGTACTTAATTCATTGTTTTTTTGGATTTTGTTCAGGAGAAGACACGGAGAGGTTCAGCTTCACACTTGACCTTCCACCGAGTGAATTCACAAGAATTCATTTTCGCAGCTATTGAAGCTGGCCTTTAAACAAACAAGGAATTCTTCGTTGCAAACGTTGCAATTCAACCGATAACTGCCTCGAGTTAAAACCAGCAACAGAGGTGGTGTTTATGATTTATTCAAACGACACTAACAACTTCTATGTGTTGCAAATTAGTTTTGACATATTAACATGATGCGTAGCTACAGAACAAAAGCTGCCATTTATTAAGCTGCCATTTATTAAGCTGCCATTCATTTTGCAATGGATTCGGTTTTAAAGCATCACATTGGCTTGATCAGTATAAATAGAACAAGGCTGAATGATCCATGTATAAGCAAATGCTAACAGATTGTTAGGAATACTCAATGAGGAAAAAAGCCAACATTATAATGATTCACTGTGATTCTTTTAATAATTTGATTGATCAGTTGGCTGGGGGTAACCTTAATGTACCCAGAACTGGGACCTTAATGTTCGCCAATTAGCATCATTCACACGATTAAGCAAAACTGAACTAGAAATGCATCTGCATTCTGACCATTACCTGATCTTTGTAACAGTTATTTTCTTCTTTCTTTTCCTTCAATTGCTTGTCAAGTTCCTTGCACTTTGCCTCAATCTCTTGGTAGCTGCCATTCAATGCTTTATTCTAAATGAAATTTGAATCAAAACTAGTAAATAATGCGTTTCAAGTCAAAAGCTCTATATTTCAGCCCCTGTATTGAAGATTGTTTCCTACCACAAATCATGATGTCCCAAACCAAAAGTGTTTCTTAGGTTTTAATGAAAAATATTTCACATTTTTTCTTTGGTTGAAAACGAAACCTTCTAATTTTACTTTAACTTTACCTTTTTTACCTCAATGATTATTATAAGGTATAATTTCAGGCATTGAATGATAACGGATGTCATTACATCTAAGCCAACATGTGGAAATATTAGCTAAATTAGTTATTATTACTCCATGAAATTGAGTTTAGTTTTTCATTTCCCTTCCATTGCTATTCCATCCCCTTACTTTCTAAATAAGCTTCAGAAAGAGAAACATTTCCAATTCATCAAAAGTTCAATACATGTCTTCAAGATTTAAAAGGTCTTGCAATGTGCTACATGAATACAACAGGCATGCTGAACACAGCAACCATGTACTACTCTGAGACACTGCTGGGGCTGGAAGCATTTAAGTTCTACCCAGCTTCTGAAGTGTCCCCAACATAGCTAGATTAGCCTGCCTTTAGCATTTCGTTTTTACAATATCAACACTACAGATAGCACTGTTATAAGGAGGCATTCTGATGATATAGTGTCAGAAATGCACTTAATGCAATCTAACCATCTGTGAATTATTGATGGTGCATTATCGTGAGGTATATATAGATATAAAGATAGCCAGCAGATTAACAATTGTTTTCACAATCAGTATAATAATTCTTCAATAATTTGTTCAATAATTCTACACATTCAACAAAAATGTATATAAATATATTTTTATTAGAATAAATCAAGCCTTCATGGAGCATTTTCTTCCAAGGACTCTAACATATTGAATAAGATTTACAAAAGGCACCAGGCAATCTTGCAAACCCCCTACCAGAATATCAACCAATTTAATAAAAACTTGAATCGTAAAAGCAAAACATACATACCTCTTTTCTAAATTGTTCTTCCCTTTCTTGTAAGTCCTTGATCAAAGATTCCTGCAGGAAAACATGACTGATGAGAAAAGAAGATTAAGTTCACATCTGAGAATATTATGGTCTAGTTGCTTCAACATTAGACTTTTATAACTCATCATTTAGTTCATGGATAAGTCATCATTGAGTCAAAACAATTTAATTCACGGATAAAAACATCCAGTTTAGAAAGTGAGCAAGTTAACAATCAAGAAAAAATCCTGTCAATTAAAAAATCTTTATCATACACATATACACATTATAGATCTTCCATAAGGCATGAGCCACTATTTACGATCAATCTTTTGAATGCAAACAAGACTGGTTCTCAAATATTCAAAGACTAAAATATTCAAGAACATTATTCAGTATGAGGTGACAGGATCTCGCATCAATATCTGAAGCTGTGATAAAAAATAGTTTAAATATTTGCCCAATATAAAGTAAACAGTGCAAGGTGTTACTTGAGATAAAAAGAGATACCAACATGTGCTGGTGCTGAAGAACTTTCCCAAAAGGTCTTCACATTGAATTTTCCTAATGACCTTCTAAATACTTCTCTAAATCAAAAAACAATCAAATTTCCTACATTCAAAACAATTTCTAATCAAATCTATTTGGTTATATGAAAAAATAAACAACTGTTGATATATTTTAAAGGAAAGAATAATTGAGTGGAAATTGGCAACATTTGCCACAACAAGGGTCATTTAATAAATGACACAACAACTTTATAAAAACGAACAAATAAATTTAAAAAAACTAACCTTCCTTTTGATAATTTCATCAAAATCTCCTTTTCCTTGTTCTAGAAGTTTTATCCTCTAAAGAAGAAAATTTGTAATTATTGTTGGTTTCTGTTCAAAATCTTCAGTGACAAGTATAGAAATACAAGTTTGAATGAAATATTCCTAGACAAACATATATACGATATATATACAATAGCAACAGCCATGATATACAAGTTATAAAGCCAGTTCGGTGCTTTTATGTATAAGGATCAAACAGTACTTGAAAAACACCAATGTTGTTGGGTTGGATGCAAAGAGTTAAACAAGGTCAAGGTCATTTCTTTGTTATTGGTAAAAAGATTCCAGCTTGATATTGAAAAGCTCTCAATTGAAAAGATACTGAATTTAGAGACAAAATAACACTGAATCACAATTCTTTACTGTAATCATAAAATGCATTTGAAGTACAATTTTCTTCTCTGCTGATGTCCAGAAATACTTTGAGAGAAGTGTCTAGTTACACCCTCTGCAATAACATTACCAAGACATGAAATTCAAAATGTTAAAATAGTTTTATCATTTACCTTTGTCAAATGCTCTATATCCTCATCCTTTTCCTTCAGCTTGGTGTTCACTTTTGCTAATTTTTCTTCTACTAACATCACATTATTTTGTGCCAACGAATTGTCCTGTTCTTTAACTTTTAATATCTCCATTTCCATTTTCAAATCTTCAATAGTGTTAATTCTCAAAGCAAGTTCTTCATCTTTTGATACTCCCTGACTTTTCAAATCTTTTGATTCTTTTTCATATTTTAGAAGATCCATCTTTAATTTTTCATTCACTGTTTGTAATCTCTCAATTTCATTTTTCAATAAACCAGAAGATTTTTCTTCATGAATCTCCTGACCTGATGTCTGTCCATGTTCACAATTGTTTTCACCATTTCTGTATTTCTGAAATCAGAGAATTCCTTATTAAGTTGTGGGAAATTTGCTTTCTTCATAAATCATCGAGATACTTTAAAAACTCTGTGCATTTTCTGACTTGAATGTTTTATTAATGGTTTATAATATTCTATGGATTAACAATTTTCAAACACTGTAAATATTGTATAAATATAGGATAAAATATTCAACAACTGGGCTTGTGATAACCATCAAAAGGAAAAAAACAACAATTGTATTTGACAATAAATGCCTTGTGTAGAAAGGAGAACACAAATATTATCACATTAGCATTTGAGCAACCATGCAAACACAGTTTAACTAGGCTCTTGTGATTAACACTTTAAAGAAAATGAATGACAAGAAAGGAACACTCTTTGTGTTTGATTTAGCTTTGATTACAAACACAATAGATTCAAAGGTATACAATTTCCAGCAATGACATTTGAACTTATATTAATCAGCTCTCTTGGGTAACTGATGTATTTAAGACCCAAAAGGGATTGTCTGGTAACAACAGAGCAATAAATAGACAAAAATAAAACAACATTGCTACATCAATTGAATTCTTTAGAAGCATATCACAGGGGATTTTCACCTTGATCAATTAGCATCCAGCCTAAACAATTCTATGGTTGACGTAAAAAAGATTAAAAATCTGATTGGATTCAAATACTAATGAAAAATTGCATGTATGATATATACAATTTATGCTGTAAAAACCTTTAAAACTTTGTATGAAAGATTTTTTACAAAATTGATTTTAACATTAAAATTTAGAAGAAATTGTATCTATAACCACTATTTGAAACATTTTAATAAAATGATTTTTCTATAAAACAGCAGAAACCAAGTAGAATATTTTACTTTAATTAAGGTGAAAGAAAAAGGATCTAATTCAACAGCTAGCACAACTATAATGGTTCTTTGTTTGCAGGGTCAAGCTAACAACAAAGGGTAGTTTTAACATTTGTAAACCTTGAAGTGGGTTCATGAATAATTTAATTAGACCAATTTAGTCTTGCAAATTTTTTATGAAACCTGAAAGCAAAGGGAAATCCAAATAGAAATATCCTACAGCTTTCACAATATTTGTAGATACTAGGACACATAGAAAATTGTCTTTTCTATATCAAAATAAAATACCCAAGAATTACTAAAAAGCTTCTTAACAATTGACTTTAGTATTTTTATACTCATTTTCACCAGAAATAATACAAGAAAAAGGTCACAAAAGGCAAATTCAGATACCTTGATTTCAGAATAGGGACTATGTAACATTAGTCATGTATTTTACTGTGTTCTTACCTTAAGCTCGGCTTGCAAGTTGTCGAATTGACTTTTCAAAAGTAGCATCCTTTCAACATCATCCTTATGAGCCGATCTCTCCTTTTTAAGTTCAGGGCTCCAAAACATTTTTATACTCCTCATACTTGAACTCAGCTTGGCATCTTTGGATTCAATTTCTTTTTTTAAACTTGCAACTTCGTCTTGCAATTCTGCAATATGTTGCTCGGGGGTGAGGTCCTTCCCAATGCCCGAAAGCGGGGAAATTCTTGACATAGTTGTGCCATTTACAGCAGTTGTCGTCGTTTTCTTCAACTTGCTAAGGGAAAATGGGTTCAAAGATATCGAGCTTAGTGCCTGGGCTGTTGGGGATGTAGGGGAAAGCGATGAAGAAGCAGTGTCGCTGGAAGGGCTTTTTGATGTCGGCGATGGCAACGTATTTGCAGGACTTACTCCCAGCAGCGGCAGTGCGTTGTTTCCCTTCACTTTGATAAGCTTGAAGGGCGATTCGATAGGCCCCTCTTGTTTTGAATCCTCAGTTGTGTTTTCGCTTTGGATTTCGCCAAGATCCATTGTCAGTTTTCCCGGGTTTCCTTATGTTTATACAGTATTGTTGACTGATTTTTTTCAATATTTATCAAACTTTATTGACACGGCCCGGCAAGAATCAATTCAACACCAATGTGTTGTCTGTTGAGAGGCAATTTCCGTTTTAAAACTGTGTGCCATACTGGGATTAAAAATATGCCACATCTGACTTCTTGATCGTGTTCTAGAGCGATCAAGAGTTTTGTCTTTCATAGCAAGTTTTTCAGATCAGCGAAGCATTGCTGTTGTGACAAGGTTATCAATCACCGCACACTTTAGTTCAATCCAATATCAATTTATCGCATCAAAACTGCCGACTAGATACAAATTGAACGAGCGAAGCGAATATTTCTCACGAGAAGAACTCGAGCTATAGCTGTTGGCCTTTTCTCTCCTTCTCAAAAAGCACAATATATATCTTCACGATCCGATATATTGACAGCGTGCCTGTAGTATTCATGAAACAAATCGCAACTTTAAAAACTATGATTCCTTGAAACCACCTTGGATGTTATTTGCAATGGTAAAGCATTCCTTTGCTTTCAGCACTCCAGCTTGATCCTATTTCTCCAATTTGTTTCCCTAATAAATGAATTCTATGTTAAATTTGGTTAAAAGACAGCGACAATCGACAGTCCCTATTCAAGTTTACGGGCCTACACCAAAATAATCGGTTTAGGCTATCCTTCTGCACTTGGCTTACAAAGCAGAACTAAAGTGCATTCTCTCTTTTGTCTACGATCCCATCTATGTTTGTAAAGAATTCCTTTTAAAATATTTGCTTATAATATGATCACAGTATGCCACAATAGTGAAAATTATGTTCTTTTGTCTCTGACTTGTTTGACAATGTTCATCTGCTGGCCATCTCAGTTTCGTCAAATGAAAACGCATGCGTAAAACAACAAATCGTTATTATTATTATTATTATTATTATTTTTATTATTATTATTATTTTTATCATTCAATGCTCGTGACGTCGGAAAGTTTTTAAGGGTCTTAGCAATGTATTTTTTTGGGTGCATCAAATAATCTGAACAAATTTCATTTCTTAATTTTTTTACCACCTATAGATTTATTGTAAAATTTTAAATCTGTTTTGACACGTGCACTCCCAGTGGCGTTGATAGGAAAATTTATAGGAGGGGCGAGAAATTTAGATTTTCCGACAAAAATATAACTAACACGCATTTTTGTTTGTTCCTATATTCAAACATATTAAGAGCTAAAGTCTTATCGTTTATTCATACATACATAATACGAATATAAAATTTTTCTGTTCGTTTCCTCAACAATGACATTTTTTGAGAGATATTGCCAATCTGATCCAGAACAACGAAAAAAGTCGTTATATTCAGCTGTAAAATCTTTCCTCCCAAAATGTTATACTTAGATTAAAAACTGTTATACTCGCCCCCTCTGACCCCCTCTAACTACGCAACTGCGCACTTCCCTGGGGCTCTTTTCACAGGTTCTTTGGGCATATTGACCTCAGTTCGATTAAAAGACGTCCGAGTAGAGGCTCTTTGTTACAGTCACATAATATAGTCCTTTTCTAATATTCTGCGCTCTTGGTTTTTCTGCAAATTCAGACTATAATCAAATTTCCAATGCTATTTCCGCAGATACATTTATATGGTCTTCCTTTCTTTTAGAATGATACAAAAGTTTGAGAAATTCCACATTTCACATCCATCAATCGTTTTTCCAAATAATTCGATCGGTAGAAAGTCTTTGCAATGTGTTTCGACAATTGGGTGTGGTTGAAAGTTTTGGCACCCTAACAAGAACTCTCTATTTCTGTAATGAAGGATTAAGATGCTGTCATCGAAATTGAATTTGTGGCTTTATTATTCACAACTCTGTGAATAGAATATTGAAATACACCTATGCTTGTAAAATTCACATTATGTCGCCTCAAAAAACTGTGAATTTTCACAGGAAATAAATTATATAAAGAGCTTTGTGTTTGTTTTCTTTTGAATTGTCTTCTCTGTTTCTTGAATGACTTGAAATATTTTTTGTGTGATTAAGGGGGGGGGCTGTCACGCAAGAACTGCCAATTAAATATGAGTCTGACGATTTACCTCCCCCACGTCAGTAACTACTATCGTTCGTGCCCCTCCAAAAATAACAGAAAGTCCATTTTTCAAACAAAGAGGGCCTCCTAAAATTCGATAATTCCTACGGTACTGTCTCGGTTATTTTTGCATATGCAATAGAAATGTCCTTTGCAAAAGCCCGAGGCTAGCTAACGTGCTTCACGTGCTGGGGGCTGGTTGGTGCTCAGGTCCAATTCGCCAACAAAGTGGGTGAGCCACACAGGATCAACGGAAAAATTAAACTGCAGAACTTTTGAATATTTTGAATGTTTTTAAAAATTACATGAAGGACAATTTTTCGTTTGAAAATATAAAAAAGATCATCCACCCGTCAAAATCCCAATTTTACCGACTAAAGCACAAATGTCTATTCTTGGGGGGGGGGGGGAGGTGTTACACCCCCTCACACGACCGGCCCTGGAGCCATACTTTATTCAACAAGTCTGTAAACTTGGCGGCGAAGCATCACTACACGTTTATGCAAAGGACTTGATCCCAAAAGGACTGCAAGCTCCATCACAGCGACGACCCTGTATTAACGTGATATCGGAAGAAATACCTACTCTATTAGAACATTTTTTATGATAACTTGTGTCCTTCTATCTAACGTAGCTTTCTATAATATACCGTATTAGGCATGAGCTAAAATATCCGCGTATGATGTGGGTACAAAAGGAGAATGATTTTCCCAGTATGGCATAAAAACAGTTTCTATAGACAAAGATCAGCGGTTTGGGAGAAAAACTTGTGGATTATTGATGACGTCATACAGGCTGCTTTTATAAGATAGAGACTTTTGAACTGCAAAATTAACGCTGTCTCTGCAATAATTTGTTCGAATACTCAACTTCTTTTTTGAGATTTTTATAAAACCATTTGGAATTTATGTAAACTTTACTGTTCCTTGCCTTAAAAACAATCTGTGAATCAACAGAGACACAGATGTTGCCAATAGACATTTCAAGTCATTACTTTTATCTCGATGTAGTATTTCACTTACTTTGGTATTACTTTACACCTCCTTTTGGCATTAGTCAAACTGCGAACTAAAAATTACAAAGTAGTAACGATATGGCAACGGGGATACATTTTTGGTTAGACATCAACCGTCTTTGTCATTAAAAAGTTTTAATTAGTAATAGTTAAAAAGAAAACTAGGTATATCTTCAGGTATATCTTCAGCACAAAATTGATTAATCAGAACTATCACTTGTTTAACAACAGAATAATTCCCAGAAAAAAGACAAATATTTACAAAAAATGTTGCTTCAAGTTCATTTGCTTGTTCATTCCATCTCTTCGATCTTGTCTGCAACAGTACAAAGAATATCGTACATCTGCAAAATGAATAAATAACATAGGAAATTGTTTGGTTTACTGCAAAGAATATAAAAAATCGACAAATAGACTCTTTTTTATTAGAATACACTTAAAAGGGATACCAGGGCCCGATTTACCAAGAAATAAAAACAATATCAGTATATGCCCAGCCTCACATGAAAAATTTGAAGAAAAAGGCAAGTTGTTTTTGGAACTTTACATTCATGTTAACGAAATAAAGCACGTTTTATCAGCTACTGGATAGTGATACTAAAAATATCATGCAGAACCAATGTTGATTTAAAAGCAAAATTTAGAACATCCGAGCCCCAAAAATATTCCAAAAATAAAAACGTCGAGCCTCGGCAACAATTATCTGGCCCTTTCAAAGAGAGAGTGTCTTCCGTACACAATCAAGTATGATAAGAGAGAGAGGGATGAAAATGAAATGAGAGTATTTTCCCAGGTAATTTATTAATGCTAGCTAGGTAAGCACAGTAATTACGACATGATTATCAAATGTTTGGTGATGTACTAAAATTCACTAAGATCACAAAACGCCACAGGGTCACACAATTTTAGATGACATTTTTTGTCAATTTTGTGCCCAAGTTCATACGTCTGCGAGGTACAACGAAATAAAAGTTAGCACAGTAGAAGAATCCTTAAGGTTGGCATTAAAATGGAAGGGCTATGATGCTATATACAATGCTTGCTTAATGACGCGTCGTTTCTGGCTATAAATCCCTACAATTAAGCTCTAATCAATTTTGTGCAAACCATCCTTTTTTGACACTCCTAGATACAGGAACAAGAAGCAATATTATTAAAGAAAGCCTAATCTGATTCATGGTCCTTTCTGCTACAAGCAGACCAGTCTGTTTCATGAGCCTTTCAAGAAGGGTTTTTTAAACTAGATTGGTAGCATTGGACCAAGTGCCTACTGTATATTGGAACAAAGATTTTTTTGGTAAAAAAAGTCGATCAATGGTTAGTCTTTTTGCTAGCTTATTGCACTATGCAGCTTGCTAGAAACATTTCTACATCCAGACCGTGACCAACACAGCACTGGTATTAAATTAGTTTGTGCCTCACAAACATCTCTTTAGCCGCAATGAATTTAAAAAAGACTGTTGAACAAGCAAATCTTGGAAGAAATTTTGGTTAAGAGAGAACCAGTCGCTTTAACCTCTGGTTACAGTACTCAAAAGAAAGCGGAAACAAGTTGTAAAATTATACCAGAAGTTTTAATTTGAACAAAAAACTTCCAGCTTCTGGTAGCAGCTAATCCATGCACGAGACAGTCGAAGACATGGAGACTGGTAGAGTTAATGGGTGTATTCATCAAAGGTGTTGTGAATTATAATAGTGCTTCCCCTGGTCTTTCAGTTTTCTGAACGCACGATTGGTCACTCGACGTTCTACTGTCAAGAACTTAAAAGCTACAATCACACCATTCTAATTCCATTAAAACTTCTTTACCTCAAAATGAATTCCAGTTTTAACAGAACGGTTCTCAAGGAATAATAAGCACTCAGAAAGAATATTATACGAATTTGTCACCTGCATGTAAAGATTCTCGCTATATCTCACTTCCAGTGGAGTAGCAGGAACGCGTTTTTCTGCTTTTGGTTTATAACCCTAAGAGCAAATATGCATATATTAAACAGAAAGAAATTATTTACTGAAGCATTGTTGCTCTACGAGACTCCTAAACATGTCTCCGGAAGGCTGATAGGGCCTAGCTCTGCAAACATCCATTTCATGCAGGCTCGTGCTTTCATGATCCATATATTATTTAATTTGCACGAAATGCATCTTAGAAAGTGATGCGGATAGGTCCTAGGGCTTTAGTTGGCTTTTTTGATGAAATGCCCCAATCCAGACCTGTTTTAGAATCACTTTCAGCCACTCCTAAACAGTAAAAGACATTGCTATTGCTAACATAACATCAGGAAATAGTACAAAGGCTTTCCGTTTTATGGCTTTATTTGACTGGGAAGTTCTAGTGCTAGTGCTGTGGTGCATTGGGGAAAATGGTTCCTATGACCTATTGCTCTTATCGTGCCTGACACGGGGTCCCAGCTTAAACTGTGACTCCACACTGTTGCAGTTCTAAATGACCTTACATGGGCAATCTAAGTTGACACAATCAAGCGGATGACCTTGTTATGGCCAGCTGATCGTTTCATCAAAGAAAGACGGCGGAAAAAGAAAATAAGACAACTGTGAAAGGTCCTTAGCCATTGCAACTATTTCGGTCTGCCAAGAGAAACGTACTTTAAATGAGTTTTGTATCTACAATGAAGAAAAGCCAATCTGCTTTATGGTTGGGTACCTTTTTGTCGAGCATAAAGGCATTCTTTAACATCAAAATAGGGAAACCAAGTTCGGAACAGGATGCCCTTCACGTTTTCATCGAGGTTCCAGCGCTTTTCATGCCTTCAAAGACGACTTCAAATCAAACCCCGAAATTGTCTTGCTATACTCACATAACAAAAACGTCATACTCACATAACTTTTGCTGGCTGCTGAGTCAACATTAAGCTGCTTTTGGTTGGATGACGAAGTAGAAGTGCCATCTGAAAACATACATTAAGAATATAACCCTTAAGCTAAAGCAGACAAGCTTTAAACGTATGCCATAGTATCAATATATTCGTGCTATTGCAGTCCAGATTTTTAGTGTAGCAAGCTAACAGCCTGAAGGGATGCCCCTAGTAACTAACTCATATAATCATTCAAAATGCAAGTATGGAGCAAAGTTTTCATAAATTTACAAAAATGTCACAAAGCAAGAATATGTAGGAAAAGGACACCAAAAGAGATGTACGTGCGTAAAGGAACTACAAAACTTCATTTTCTCGGACATTCAAAAAATTACTTAATCTTATGATGGAAAATATTGATCACGTTTCTAGAGTTTAGCACATCGATGACATGAAGAATTTCTGCCAATATTTCGTACTTTTCTTGTTTTAAAAAGGATTGCTTCAGAAACTACACTGCTAAGTTATTAGGGGACACCTATCGAAAAGAATGGACTTTAAAGTGAAACCTTTGCCTCTCGTCTTCGGATTTCCTGATGATTTGCCTCGCGATGAAGCTGGCCTCGTATCCTATAAAGGAATGAAGTAACATGTACCAACCAAGTTGTAAACGGCTGGATTTGCGCTTTAAATGATCAATGTCAGATAGTAATTTAACGCGAATGTGAAGTCGATTTCTTGTAATCAACAGGCATGAAAACTGCTTTAAAGTGTTAACCAACATTTTACCTTTTTCTTTGACTCCAGTTTCTTGTCAGGTGTAGACTTTTGAATATCTTGTGACTGGCCCTTCTTAGGCTTTTTAGTTACTGAAAAACGACGAATTTTATTTTTTGATTAACAAGTAATATCTTGGTTTTTAATCGAATATTTGAATAGAATCATATTACTCCTCACTACTTGAATTTTACAATAACTTGCAGAGCTTGAAGCACCATGTGGATAATTTCAAAGATGAAGATGTTCTGGCATGAAAATTCTGGAAACAAGAAATTTCTTTCCACCGTTTACAATGCTTAGAGCAGTCTAGCGTCTATCATAAAGCTCATTGATCGTAAGCTAACGAAGATAAAACATCTCTTTGGCAGATAATAAAAGGGTGACCAATAGGGGTATCCTTGGTATTAAACAGTTAAACATGTTGATATGCCTGGAGAAAAAGATATAATGAACTATTAGCGCACTGCTAATTGAGTAGCAAATTATAGGAACCTAAATTGGCATTTTTATAAGGCTAATAACAGCTTTTAAAAAGAATTACAGACAATTAATTCATATATTTCGAATAAATCACCTTCCTCCTGTTGTACCTCTACCATAAATTCTTTTTCTGGTAGGCCCATCGACATTCGAAGAGTGTGAGCTTTCGCATAGAAATGATCCACTGCTTCGCAAAGAAGTTGATAGCTAAAACATATGTTTATACAATTCATAGTTTTAAAGGTGTTCTGTGGGGAAGTGGGGCCATGAATTTGCATATATAGGGAAGGGGAACGAAAATCACTTAAAAATAGAGGTATTAACGGGGATGGAGGTGGGGATAACCCCTTAGTAAGTATGTTTTAAAGGCCCTTTACTTCATTTCTTCAAACTGATACATGCATATCAAATGTATGTGTAATATATTTTTTCTACATTAGCCATTATGAAGTTAGATTGATATTTGTGCCACGAGTCTCAATATGCATAGATGTCTAAATTGCCCTAAAGCTGCGATTTCCTAAATATTACCCAGGAGATTCTCACACATATTTCATAGTATATCAACATCGATATCGATTAACCCGAGGTTATAATAGTGTTTTAACTAACTGGCCAAGGCAAAACATTTCTTTTCCAAAGATTCACTGAACATTTTTATTTTACAACTTGATATCAACCATACATTTCTGCTAAAATCTTTTCAAAGCTATTTGGAAATAGTTTAGTTTCGATAATACAAACCAAAAGTTATGTCTCAATCTTTGCATTGGATCGTCTGTTTCGAATGCAAACATTTGAACATCTTCATTCAATTTTTGAATCAATGATTCTTTGGTTTCATCGTCCTCTTGTGACTTGGCCTCCTGTTTACGAAAAAGTGGAATAAAAGCTGCTTTTTAACAAATTTTGTTTTTGAGTAGGTATTACAAGAGATGCTTTACCGTAAAGGAATAGTCTGGTTTGACTCATTTTGTTCAGGAATGGGCTATGCTTATCTTTCTGTTGGGTTTGGATATTGAAATCACTACACCTTTGAATTCACATCTGAAAATTGTCCTTAAAAGACCAAAAAAGCGTTTTTGGGATTTATTTCTATAAATATAGCAAAATGAGTTCTGATATATCAAAAAAGCAATTGTGTGAAACCTGTGATTTAGATTAAAAACAAAGCAAGCTAATTTCGTCTTACTGTTAGAGCAATACCGTTCTTTCCTATCAATATTCCTCATCTTAAAGTTAATTATGTACTGATCCACGAATATTTACTTTCAAGAACTGGAATATTAACCCACTTTAAACCTGAAATTCACTTAGTTAAATGCAATTTAACAATTTTTTTCAAAAAGTTAAAGAATTATGATCTTGTCAGGCTGATGATAAACCTTGATCTCATAAAGTGGAACCGAAAAAAAATGGGATTTGAATTTTCTAATTACATGCTAGTTGCCAAGCTTGTGCTGCATTGGATAAAATCATGTTACCTTGCGTAAGATAAACAACGGCTGGCAAGAATAAGGCAGTTTACTTAATCAAATATATAAACATCTGGAAATTAGAAAATTTTATCTTGAGATTAAAGAGATGTGAACAAGAAAAACCATGTTAAGTTTGTTACCAAATTAAACAGATTTCCTTGACATTTATTGATAAAAGCAGACCGCTTGCATCCAAAGAGATGGAAATCGTATTGGGTCAGCTATCTATATTTCGAAGATTATAAAAAATTTCAAGCGGAAGAAAATAGTTTTAAAAATAAAGTAGACGTTTTTGGGAAACTTTAAATTCACTTTTTTCGAGATTTTTAACATACCAAATTGCCATCAAGAAAAATATTTCATATCTAATTTTTTGATAAGTTTCCAAAATGGTGCCTTATAACTAATTCCAAAGAGGAAGGTTCTGTTGGACAGCAAAACAAATCATGTTGGTCTCTTTTTCTATCATAGCTAAAAAGGCGTTGAAATTAAGTTTGAAGTAGACGGAATTGTATCTTGCGCTAGTCAACTATACGCGTAGAAAAGAAAAAAAACAAGCAGCGAAGCACTCTCTAGAACAAAGCTGTGATAAAAAAATCACTTGTAATTTTGCAATGTTATTTTTCGCTTATCATACATCAGTTCAATATGAATTCTTGATAAGTTTAATTGTCACAAACCTTTAATAGCGTCTGAATACTCATATCCCAATCTTCATCTGGGTTCAGCTGCTGATGAAAGTACTTCAAGTCCGTTACAGCTTCGGTGTTGAACGTCATCTTTAAAAAAAACGAAGATACTTATTTATTATATCAACATGTTTCTTTAAAAAAACCCACGAAAAGAAAAAGATGGCTCGAAAAACCTCAAAAGGCAACACTAAATGCATCTCAAAAATACTTAAAGCAATGAATATGTTAACTTTACCTTGTCATTTTGCCTTGTAAACAACTCTTCTTCCTAAATTGAGACGAGGAAATTTTGTAGTAATGTACGATAAAAACATTGTTAATTTAGCTGCTTGATATGCAACATAAGGCAATGATTCTGAATTGTTCATTTTTATTTTAAATAAAACTGATTTCGACATTTCTGTTTGTTTTCCACGGCTAGGCCTTTCTGTATCTTCTAAACTAAACTGGAAATCTCACATTTCTTCCATTGCTAAACATTCGCCTCAAAAATTTGGGTTCCTCTCCAGCCCACATGGATTCGTCTCACCATCACAACTCTCAACAATTTTTTTGTCCCAAATCCGTCCTTCCCTGGACTACTCCTCCGATATTGGGGTGGTGCTCCTAATCTTTCTTGCGTCTCCTTGACAAAATCCAATCCAAAGCCAAAATCCATTCCGGACTTAGCTATAGGAACATGAACCTGTACCCAACATTACTGTAATAAAAATGAAGCTCAATGCTAAAATTAATGACGCAAAGATGAATACGTTTCAGTTTCAAAACCAACTTCCACCAACATGGCAGCTTTGCTACGCCTATACTCTATTGCAGATCTGGTTAACAGCTTTGATTACAGCTTAGCATATCAAGCATAATGATTTTAGCAGAGATGCAAGAAAACCAACCGTTAAGTACGTATCAATCGGGGTTGAGGGTCTCGGAGGTGTTCGAACCCCGTTAAAAATTTCTTCAACAATCTCACGGATGAAGGATGTCTTCTGTCTTCTCTGCAGTTCTTCCTAAAATTAAGCGCCAGATTGTAAGTTAAAATGAATACCAGAAAGTAGATACACTGACTATTACATTCCCAGCTAATGCTTATATTACACTGCTAAAGTGACAAAATGAATGTATATTCAATTCATTAATTAGAATGAATGATCGCTTCCTCTTGAAAATAATTATTTGATTAATAGATTTTGCTAAGAACGATTATTTTTCTATGAAGCTCTATTTCAAAAAAGGCAAAAAAGAAAATACTTGTAACCAAAGTTCATTCAAAATCGAATTAGCTCGAATGATTCAATTAAAATTATCGATCCTTTCTCTGGCAAACAAACCAAAAGTTTCAAAACCTTCGTCAAAAAAATTGAGATAAGGCATGTTGTTTTTCTTTTTGATTTTTTAGTCACGCGATCGACCACCTTTGTCCTCGGAATCTACTTTTTAACCCACAAAAAACGTCAGAATCACTACGAGTAACTTTCTTTTCCCCACTCAAATTCTCCCTTTCCCTATTCCCATTCCCTAAAAGCTTGCCAATCTTGTAACAAAAGCCAAGCGTACATCCATCAACATTGGCTACCTTTCAACAACATGATTCCAATATACCTCAAACCAAGAGAAACCCTAAAATGTCATTTTGGTAATGATTCCAATCTTCACCGCTAAGCTTCTACAACGATGAACAATGTAAAACAAATAGAAGTGAAAAAGGATCCTTTATTAACCTCGAGCTCCTTTCTCTGCTCTGCTAGCTTGTCCTCCTCCGTGGCTATGCCCTTCAGCACTATGGTTATAGGAGCTCCTCCACAGAGTACTGGTTGCGTGTTAAGCTGCCACATTTCACTAAATATGCCAGCATTTGGGGATTTGAAGGTGAATTTTATTTTGATGCTGTCATTTGGAAGTATGACACCTAAAAGACAATAAAGTCCATTTCTTTATTGCAATGCTGACGTGATAATCTATTAAAAAGGACTAAATAGCAAATACTTGAACAAAACAAAATACAGTATTTTAATAAAAACCCTTGCAACCCTCGTCAATATTTCGATAAAAAGTTGTAACGTTGTGTGGTGTATGGCATATCTTTCTGGTTCACTTGGAATATGTAAAACAGTTCAACTATGAAATGAGAATTTAACTTATCACGCATGAAAGTATACCAGTAATTTTCGTAATACAGACATACCATTTCGGATGTCAAAATAGAACCTCTGCAAAGGCCTCACGTTCTTTATGTCAAAAGGATCTTTGGAAGCAATTTTCTGAAAAATGACACAAAAAGTGAGAATATATAATTCAGTAAAAGCATATATAACATAGATATGAACATATATATTGTTTTACTTTTACTAGTCTGCCAAGAGGTTCTCGTCGCGGTATAGATAGAGCTGGTATACTAGATACAGATGAAGCCTTTACTAGCTTTTGTATAGCTTTAGGTACAGATATAGCTTTTACTTTACTTTATAGAGCAGGATGGCACTGAGCTGCAACTCCGAACTGCCTGATGATATAACTTCATGAGCTGCAGGAAGCTTGAAATTCAGCGTATTTGTAAATTGTAAATGGTGATTCTCCCAAGGTCGAAGAAAAGTTCTCTGATGCTTTTAATCTAAAACGCTGTCACACCTTTTGCCAAAAATGTGGCTATGAGATGAGACGACTTGGGATCTTAGAGAAAAATATATTGAATATTCCAAGTATTGTGTAATACAGAAATTCTCCCAGTTAAAATTCGTATCAAGGAGAAGTTGGGAAAAATTTCTAAAAAGTGACTTAAAACGTGCGTAGCAAACAAACCAATGGCTCCTCAAATAGTCGGCGGTAGATTGGTGACACTCCACTTAATTAGACTGTCAGTTGCAATCCAAGTTAAAGGCGATGTTAGAAGGTAAGATAAACAAACTCTAAGGCTCGTGTGTTCTTCTTTTCTTTTTGAATAATACTTGAGATTATTCTTAAAACTGTACCTTTAGAGTATGGCTGGTAATTAGTTGCAACCGCTAACTCAGAAGGCAGTACAATGCATTATGGTTCTAGTATCGTACAATTTTGGGATTTGCAGTGTACAAAGTTTATTCACAAGTTCCCTTCTGTGCATTAATATCATGTGCAATTAAGAAAGTTTAGAAACTTTTTTCTGTCCCTTCTTGCAATCTTAGTACCCTCTCCACGCCCTTGACCCACAAAAGGCCAAAAATTAAGGGCAGAAAGTTGATAAGCATTTCACCTGGTTTTTTATAGAAAAAAAGTTATGTTCTCAATAGCGAGGGAAAAATACAGTAAATTAGAAGGTTCGGCGGATGACGGAATTTCGGTCCATGTAACATGATATCAGTTGTCCTCCCAGACAAGGAATTGGTTGCATATTGGTCATACTTACAAAAAGTGTATCTGATATAAGAGAGGCACAGTACGTAAACATCAATATGGGATTTATTGTTTAATGTGTAATCTGATTATCCTTATAAGACCAATCGTTCCTCGGTCACACGCATTAAATCGTTCATTCTGTGTAAGAATCTGTGAATCTGTGAAAGTATGACATTAAGAGAATTGTCCTAACCATACCTTCCACGAAAAATAAATTGCTGCAGTGCCATCATTTGTGATGTCAATTGAACTGGATGACTTTGAGGCTGCCTCGGCTTGAAACTGTAGCCTTATCACAAGACCATCGTCAGTCTCCTTCTCACCGGCAAGGTCCTTCCACTGCGCAGAATATCCGTTGATTGTTAGCGATGGTCCAAATATGGGCAACGGAACTACATCCTCATAATCCGCCAATGGATCTCTAGGAAAGATTCATTATCATATAGCACTCAAAGACCTGAATGATTGACACTGAAAATAAAATAATCATAAAAGGGAACTGAATCACGCATTAGCTCTTCTTGGCATTTATAATCGGTTTGAAGATACCTTAATTTATAAACGTTGGTAACAAAATATCATTATACGACGTACTACTAAAGATTTGGCTTTGCAATAACTTAATTTTCTAAACCAGTTATCTGTGTTCTCTAAATTCAATTTGGGAAATTCGTAAAAATGCATTCATTATAATAGTGAAAGTATATAAATAAAGCGTATTGCGAAAATTGAACAATAATTAACAATCATAAAGTTCATCATCCTGATAGCTGTCAGATCCAAAGTACAAAGATAATGTTGCCAGACAATTAACACGTTATCTATAGGGTCTTAACGTCTTAAAAGACACTAGTAAAGACCATTCAATATTTCCTCTCTAAAAAAAACCATTGGATGCAAATTCTTCAAATAGCAGATTCTCAGTTCTTGGAGGAAAGGGCGAGATGGTACGGAAGCAACTATATGAAGATAAAGTGAAAATAATAGGGAAGATAAAGAGAGGTGAACAATTGTTGTAAAGCTCTTACGGAAAATCACCAAAGTGGTGAGAAATGTCATCTATCATTGTAGAAGCCTCATCTTCTGTTTCCTCATTATTATTCACTTCTTGGTCTTTGTCGACAGACTGTCCAATGATCTCCAATCCATCGATATACTGGGAAAAGACAATCCATGCCTAAGTAATGCATTGATGTAACAAATAAAAGTGACGTAGGCACACATTTGTAAAGAAACAGGAATCGATAATGCTAAACATTTCAAATCAGATAATCTTATCTTAAGCAAGTTGAAAAATGATACACATATATCTAAAAAGATAAACAAAGATCCATAGCAACGTATCTTGTTTCTCAAACATTCAACTAGCAATCTAATCTCAGCTAAGGAACAAAGAAATAATTTGCACGTGAGCTAATCATGATCTTCATAGGAAACTAAGGCTGGAAAAAGCCTCACCGGTCGATGAGGAGCCAGCTCATTGATTACTCCAAGCAACTGTTGTTTTCTCTCTCGAAGGAATTCAGATTTGATCCAAGGGTAATGGATGTGAGCTATACGTCTTGTTTCTGACCAATCAGTGCCAACTGATCTTCTTACTTCGTCGGGTTTTCCGATGTACTCCATTGCAGGTGCAAAGCCACGCTCTGTCTGCGTCAAGGTCATGCTTACATGGAAAGAGAAGATTTTTTAAAAGATCATATATGTGGCATGGGGTCGTATGAAAAAATCAAGGCTTTCTGTTGAATTGGTCGAGCCTGCAACCATACAAGAAAATATCTGATTAAAAAATATATTAGTACCTGAATTCACAAATGATATACTATTGAAATAATCGACCTAGCAAAGCCGTCTCTTTACTTTGGTGTATTGAAAAGTGTAGGAAAGTACAAGAGATTTCGTCTGGTAGATACAAATAGAACGAGGTCGCTTTATAATTAAAAAGCATTTATTTGTCAAAAGCATTTATTAAAAGGCATTCTAAACTACTGTTGTGTACCTTAAGCAGTACTGCTCATTATACTTAGGCATGTAAGATACAGAATACCGGGCTAAAAAATAACTGGGAACGATAACTGACTACTTTAATATTTCACGGATTGATTGATATATTTCGTTGAAACAAGGAAAAATTCCATAAGCATCCATACTTAATGCCTTTATTGCCACCAACGTTTTCAACTTGTTTCCAAAATTCACTTCCAACGCGATCTAAAAAGGAAAAATTTAAAACCTAATTCAAGTTTCAAGTCAGAGATGGGTTTGTATTGAAAGATGAGTTTCGATATGTTTGAAAAACTTTCACATTTATTAATGTCTTGTTAAATTGTTCTTTGAAATTTAAAAATTTGAGCTGGCAAAAAATTTGAGCAAACTTAAAAGTATAAAAAAAAATTCTTTGAATTTCTTGGTTCTTAATGCATGTTGAAACGATCAAGTGAATGAATGCAATTTTGTATTCCAACGTTATACCAATCTTTTGCAGTGAGAAATTCTGCGTAGTACAAATATCCATCACCAAATATATAGGTTACAAATATCTAAGAACAGCAGATAAGAAAGAGTAATACTTACATCCTTTCCCATAATCCATTGCAGGTATGGCTCTGTCTATTAGGGCTCTGCAGCAAACAACATAAAAGTTTAAATGGAGCAAAAACAAATTTATATGTAGCAGAGAGGATTATCATTGCAAACTGATTTAACACAAGCAAGGTATTACAGTGTCTGAAACAACAAAGGATAATAGTCTTTCGTGTTATTGTTTCCTGCCAGTTTTATGTCTTAAATGCTATTTTCCTCTTTTAGTTACCACCTTGCGTTCGAAGATTTTAAGAAGCTCTGCTTCTTTTAAGAAGCACAGAGAAGCTCTGCTTATGGGACATTGTCCTGGCTCTTCCTTGCCATGTGAGCGCACCTCGTGATTCTTATGCCTCGAAATAAAGATACTTTGTTACTCGAAGTAAAAGTTTGGTCATGGCATAGGCATGAAACCTAGACACTTGGATCAATAGTGGCCCTAACAACTGAGTGATCCCCACACCAGAGTGCTCCTTTACTCTAAATATCTTTGAAAATGAAATCACAACTTTAGTGAAAGTTAAAGGCCTATTCAACAAAAGAAAAAACCCACCTGTCTTCTTGTTTCATCCTAAAATCTGCATCCTGGTTCATTAAAAGCATATCAGGTGGTACATTCATTGTGTCTGGTGACAAAAAAATAAGCTTTATTGGCATACATATATATATTTAATAGTAAGGCGAATGAAGAGTTTCTTTGGTTTTTCCCAAGAAATATGACTCCAAAAAGCCCCTATACATAAAGCTTTAAAGTTTGGTGTGAAAATCATTTGCAAGGAATGTACCTGAAAGATACTGCTGCTCTTTCTTCCTCATCTTCATTTGCCTCTCCCAGTTTTCAAGGGCACGAGTCTCATCAATCTAAAAAGATGTTTAGAAATGTCATTCTAATAAAAAGCTCAAAGTCTGAACGTTTAATCTGGCACAAGATTAAAGGTCATAAAGGCAAGAACAAGTTTCGAAAAAGGTTTCAGAAAGTGATAAAGGGGCAAACACTATACCATAGATGTAATTTAGAACACCAAGGGTGCCAGGGGTCTGGCAGCAGGCCTTCCTGGGAGTAAATTAGCACAAGTGTGGCACTTTGCACTCCTAAACTGTGGTAGGAGTGCGATGAAGTACTTTTTGTGTCTTGTCTTACTTCTATAAAAGTTCAGCTACATAGTATTAGGAGCCATAAAAACTTCATTCCTCAAGTGATCCCAGGTATCCCAAAAATTTAACAAAAATTATATGTAGTTTTAACTAAAGCAGGAAAAGCTTTAAAATATTGAGAGTGGCAAGTGTCACCATTTAGTTTTTATTTACTTTTATCAGAAAGATGCATACGGTAGATGGATATGTCATGTCATTAATCATTTCTTTGGAAACGTGTTTGAATTAATAAGTAGGGAACTTATTAAGGTGTGTTTTGAATTGAAGGAGGGTCCCTTTGACCGCAATCCTCTCCCTATTAAGCCTTTGACAAGCAAACCCTGGGTTATTTGAACCTTTTTACTGGCCCAGAAATCGGAGTTTATGGTAGGCACACTTAGCGCTGTGCAGTTCTCAGGACGTTGAAAAACCTTTTTCAATTATTCGTCTTCGACATACTTTGCTGTCGAAATGTTTGGTCCCAAGGACTCGTCTTTAACATAATGTAGTGCAGCTCGTGTTCTGGCAGCAAGTCTCGTGAAAGCTGGAATTCTGCATAGAGAACAGTTGGAAGGGACAAAAGTTCTCTCTGCCGGATTCGCTGAAAACTATTATGTCAGTCGGGAATGAAGGATTGGGTAAAGGGGGTACACCTGCATCCAATTCTACAGTTAAGTTTCGTAAATCGGAGGACTGTATCAGGGGCGGTGTGGCTAGGCGGGACACCGGGAGATTTCTCAGTGGGCCCCTTTTAAGCGAGTTTGTAAAACCCAGGAAAATATTTCATGCGAAAAAAATCCTTGGTGAAAAAATCTCTCACTTACATGTAGACGCGAGTTCATGGTTTAGAATTAGAGACTTGGAGATCAACATAAACAAACTGTGCCTTGTGAAAGGGATGCGTGGAATATGAACAGGGCTGCAGCGAGGAGGACAAAGAGGGGCAAACTGCCTCAGGTCCTCGAGGCCCTGAGTGCTTCGCTCGCAGTGCACGTAAATTATCCGTCCCATTGGTGTATGTATTCAGTGGGCACTACAGCAATAGCTTTGCTCCAGTCTTTAAGAGACTATAGTTAAAGACAAGAGGGTACAATTCTATCATATACACCAGAAGAAACTTGGAGAAAAGACGAGAACTGGTATCTTTTTAATTTTTCAAAGGTGCATGGGTTCCAGGTACGAACCATTTTTGGTGACCTGTGATTGGTGATTGGAGATGTTATACAAAAGAGTGGGCCCCCTTATGATCATTTTCTCCCACCCCTTTTCTAGGAGCTACGATGCCCCTGACTGTAGTGGTCAATTCAAAGTTGTCAGTTCGCTCCTTATTTCCACCACCGTCGATTGAAGGTCGTCAGATTGGGTCCGCGAGACAAAATTACTCTTTGATTCCTTGTTTCATCAAGCAAGTGTCATACTTTCCACTTTCCACTTGAATATTTCGATTGATAACACATAAAAGAGGTCTATTCAACTTACCCTTATTTGTCCAGTTTTTGGAGCATTGCTCAAAAGCTTCATATTTTCTTCATCTTCTGGCCAGGGGCTTGGAGATGACTGCAAAAAAATTATGAAAATAGTTCCAGCCTGGTATCACAACAGATAAAAAAATAACTTTTATTTTGCTACACATCTTGGTAAAAAAAATCTTAAAGGAAATAGAAGAAACTGGCTTGAATATTCTGTTGTTGAAATTTTTTTTCAAATTATTTGAAAAATATGCAAAGATATGGGCATGCATTTTATCATTATATTGGGCATATTCGTCTCTAGATTTATTTGGGTGATCCTACATCAAATTGTTGACCGGAGCTTTGCGATGAGAATGAGCTGTTCCTTTTAAAAGGAAAGTTGAAGAATTCAAATATCTTAATTAAAATTTAAAAAAGACTAGGATTGAGACAATATCTATGCAGAATGCCTGATTACAGGGAAGGGATAAAAACATGTTAAGAATTATTATAATTATCAGCATTTGTTTCAATGAAGAACATTCTAATTAAACTGTTGAAGCTTTTGCACACAATCTTTTTTCTTATTTTCCATAACAGTTTTTGTAAAATGAAAAGCCTGCCTTTGCTCATGTGATAGTGTGCAATTCAAATAGAACAGCTTTTTATTTGTCGTTTTTTATTCCTGTTATCGAGAAATATATAGTGCTGCTTTCAAGAAGACCCTTTGACACTGGACAGAAACAAAGGAAATTGACTAGGAAACTGTTCTTGTTATTCCAGAATGATGTTAAATCTAATTGGTTATAATAAATTTCAAGGGCGTAATTATATAAGTTCTCTAGCCCCTGCTATCTTAGCCCTTCAATGTCATTGACATCCAAATATTTGCCAAGGTAGCATATATCATTTGCAATAAGTCTAACCAGCTTTCAAATATGTCTCAAAAATGTCTAACCAGATATCTTTCACGATAATATGGCAACTGCAGGACAAGTAACGACCTGGTTACATAGTGGTAAATCCATTAGAAACGAAGAGAACTACTTTTTAATTTGGCAGCTTTGATTTTCCGTTGGTTAAATTATTTTCAAACTCTAAGGGTGTTGAAGTTCTCAGAAATTTTTCTCTGAAGTTTTTTGTTTTGTGTGTGTGTTGTTTTTGCAGGCCTTGGGCAATTTAGTGTCTGCAATTGTGGGGGATTGCATGCCTCATATTACAAAGACTGTGGTAATTCAACTTTTTACTCTGTTAAATTATAAATCACAAACTTAGAAATGCATGAATATCTCATAATATTGATGAAAATCTAAAAAAGAATAAACCTAACTTACCTTACAGTTAGTCTTGAATGAGCAATTCTGTAATGAAATAACATTCCCTCATTATTTGTTGCTACTTTTTTACCTTAATTTTTTCACTTTTTTCAAAAATCACCAACTAGAAGGAACAACTACTATCAGTGGCGGACACTTGGGGGAGCGAGGGGGGGGCGACCACCCCCCAATACTCTAGAGGACAATGATCTTTTGTTCTAAAACAATGGGGGAAGTGTGACGTCATCTTATTAAAACAATAGGCTTGCCCCCCCCAATATTTGATCAAGTATCCGCCCCTGACTACTATGATTAATAACGATATATTATTATATATATGCTACCACTAGCAACAAAATAAAATTCTTGCAAATGGTGCAAAAGTAGCTTTACTCACAACTTGATCACCAACATTTACTGCCTGCTCAACAAAGTCTTCAACAGAACCAAGTATGCTATGAGGGATTATTCTGCCAGAATTATCAAGCCTCACACCTGGATAGTCTAAAAAGAAAATACAATGCATACTTATAAACAATGTGTTCAGACAAACGATAAACAAATTATAAAAAATGATATACAAAATTACCAATAGAAAGATCTAAAACTTTATCATTCAATTATAAATGTAAATTCGAAAGTAATATCAATTAGTTTTTCCGAAAAGCAATAAAGTGGTACGGAATGATAAAAATCAGTTTCAAATTGATATTGGTGACAGTACCTTCTGGATTTGGTAACTTGATTTCTGCATTTGAAGGTGCCCTTCTTGCTACTGTAATCCTAAAACAGTATTTTTATAAGAATAAATAAAGACACTTGAAATACTTGATAGCTTAACTTTGACTTTTTTGAAAAGAAACAGCCGGTATGCCATGTAACTTGAACATCAGCAAGCTATCATGAAAACAATATTTTCAAACAACAAGAAAGTGACAGAGCAAAGTTTAAGAAAAGATTTAATTCTAACCTTTTGTTCTGTTTGGGTGAATTTGGTACTTGTGCTCTCTTTTTCACCAAGACTTTTGAAGACTGGTGTTCCACTTTAGATGGCAAAGGAGCAACATTCTAGTGAATGATAAATCTGTTTAGTAATACATATGAAAGCAGAAATCTGTCTTAGAGAGGGCTATTGTTGATGCCTGGGAAAGCCTTTGTTACAGGCCTTGCTCTAAGTAAAATGAAGGTGCTCCATAAAAAAAGCCCCTTAGAAACTCTAGGTGCTCTATTTTGCACCTCTAAAAAATGTCCTTGAAAGCATCCTTCGAGAGCTTTGGAAGAGTGTTAAATAAAAAATTCAGCGGTGATACCAAAAAGCACCATAATATGAAATGACAAAACATGCAACGACTACTACTACTAATATTAAGATGTCACACGCAGTTAATACTGCATGACGCATCTCACAATGCCATGCCAGTTCTTTCTGTCCTGTGTCAGTTCAGATAATCTATTCAATGTTTGTGCTTCTTTTGATATATTGATATAAACTATATTGATATGAACGAACACTATATTGATATAAATATAGAAAAAAAATAAAACAAAGTTTCAAAATTGTTAAGATTTTTCTAGATATCTAAGCAGTGACTTCGCTTGAATTTCCAGACTAGGGGTGTGTGGAGGGTCATCAATAGAAAATTTTACAGACAAAGACAGAGATTGAGAACAATCTAGGTACTATTTCACCTACTGATAGCTAATTTTACTGACAAGCTAAGGGTTTTGTAGAAAAAGTGAAGATTTACAGACAAATTCATGAGGAATTGGAGGGTGTTACACCACCCTAAACCCCCTGCTAGCTACGCGTTGCCGTCATGTAAGTTGCCATCATTTGATGAGCCTTTGTCACTGTCAGTATCACTACTGCTATGTTCAGCTTCACATACTGCTTCATCAAAACCCATGGCTGTATGTACAAAATTGATCTTTGTTTCCTTTTTTATGCTATCCATTCTTTAAGACATGCTAGAATATCCATACTCATGAAAGCAAATGAAAACTGTAAAGCAATGTGATGATTGGGGCAGAAATGTGATCTCTTATTTGCACAGGTGATTTATCAAGAAAAAAAAGAAATAATACATAAAAAGGTTAATGCTTGCTTGAAAATCAAACAAATCTGCTGGAGAAAAGGCTTGATGGCCTGTGTTCTTGGTGGTTATTAGAGATTGTTATTAGATTAAAAACCCAATTTTTGAATTTGCTGAAATTTTTTCTCAATGGGTAATCTTATGCAAATCATAATATTGTGGTCTGTTTGGAAGATTGTTTGTGCTTGATCAAGTTTATTCAACAAAGGCCAACAAATTTGCTCTCCAAGGCTTTTTGGATGTGCCCCAGGCGCCTGTGCTTGATTGAGCACCTTTCCGGGCTATGCCTGCATTATGGATGTTTTCTAACTTGTACTAAACATCAAACAATTAACAAAATTCTGCAAAATTTCATTAAAATTATCTTTTAAAGTTTATTTGTTCATTTAATCTCTACAAACTGAATTAAATGAGCAAGTATTGTAATGTCATAACTAACTGAAAATTTTAAAAACATGAACAAAAAATTTGCAGTTACACTTGCTTACACTTTTGAGGTCTTTTGGGTTAATCCTCAAGGACTTTATTTCTTTATCTAGCTCAGATTGATAGATCACAGGTGATTCATAACCAAGACTATTTCCATTTTGAACAGCAGTATCCACCAATGGGGATACAGCCTTGTTATCAGGGGTACCACCACCTTTTGATCTTCTTGCTGATTTGCTGGCTGCTATCTTTTCTGCAAAAATATTTTATTGTCAACCAATGTTTACGGAAAAGCAGAAAATCTGATACTAGCCAACTAAACTTCCATAAAAAGCCAAATTTATTGACGTTTGTAAAAATTAGGAAAAAAGTAAGGCTAGACAGCAGTTATAACAAAATTAATAATTAATAATATAATTAATAATATTATTAATTATATTATTAACAAAATTTAGCAAAGAAATGCCCTGTATGCTTGCATTAAAAGACCTTGGTACATACTACATCAAAAATACCCTTATTCCTTTCTGGCAAAAGTCGGCAATCGTGCCTTTTCAAGTTAATGTTAATGTTTGCTGTTAATACTTTTTGGAGCAACTTGCAAGGGGAATTGGAACCAAGCTTTCTTAAATCTACTTTAAGGTTCCCGCACCTCCAAGGCAACCTCACATTGCCATACTATGCCATTCAACTTACATTACTAGCTAGAAAATGTGTCTTTCTATTATCATCTTATAAGTTTTAGGTGAATATGGAATGACTTTTTCATTCAAGGTTGTTGATTCTAGAGAATTCTAGGCCTGACGGTTTCCAAGGCAAAATTCGTCTGCGTATAGTTAATTTTATTCTTTCAGAAAACGAAAATATTATACAAAATAAAGCGACTGCTGTACCTGACGACCTTGGTCGGTCCTTTTTTGACTGCTTTATAGCAAGTTTTGAAGTCATTTTTCTGCGTCCTTTACAGGATCATTGGTCTATGCTGTCAGCCATTATGGCTCAGATCGTTGCCTGGAGACGGGCACCAAAGATCAACCTCCTGTGCAGTTCCTTGCTAAAAGGCAACCTCATACTAGTCTAGACCTTGGGACAAAGGCTAGCCTGACAGCAGGGGTTGGGGATCTACCCCGGGTGCCTTCTCCGTCCACGTCCTTAAGAATGCGTGGGGTAGAGAGATCGCATAGACGCAATAAAATGCACGAAAAAGGATATGCATATGCGATAATGTAGTATCATTTCTTACACGTTCGATCTTATTACAGCAAGGAAAGGCAATGCAAATACAAGCGACAATAGCTGCTTTTCATCCGACACTCCACAGAGCATTAACTGTCGCTCATTGGTCAATAACAAGGCGTAACAAGGAACCAATCAAACGCATCCTACTTCCAATCATTTTACTTACGATCCACACCTGGGTTATAATTAATGCTTACCATTTGGTCATTATCCAAAGTTTTATACTGAGGCAAGGGTGCAAGTGCTTTAGTTTATTATATTTCTTCTTCTTTGTCCTTTATTAAGGCATCAGAGGCTTATCTGCCCTTATCAAATGAGCGGGCAGATTAACCCCCGGGCACCATGCTGAGACAGCCCCGAAAAAGATTTTCATCTTTGATTCAAATAAATCTTGAACAGTGCTTGATGTTTCCTTTAAGCAATCAATTCCAAATGACATTGGTCATATCCAACTTTTTGATAGTCCTGGCATGCAGTTTCAGTTGTTATCAGAATCAGTTGTATTGTAAGTTTCCATCATCATCATAAGTGATGTCATGTCATAGAGACCTTCTCTATCCTACATAGTTCTTTCCCTTAGGCCAAATAAAAAAATGTCGCTAAACCTTTAGTTATCAGAAGCTTTTTTAAAGGGAGCATGTTCTAAGATTGTAGTATTGGCATTTATAACATCGATGCAATAAAAAGAAGCGTAATGTGATAAAATTAATATGACAAATGATTGAAAGATCATTTTATGATATTATTTTGTCAAAAACGATCACTCTGACTCTTTTACTTAAAGAAGTTGCTCTTTTGCCTAGCTATAATTGACCAGGGTGGAAGCGAACAGAGAGTGCTACCCTAGGTACTTGAGCCTAAGAAACAGGGGTGGGGAGGGAAAAAGACTGTGATGTATCATCATCCAAGGCTTTTATGTTATCATTACTTCTCTTACAAAGAATTAGCAATAACGCTGTTTGCAAACATGAACTGTCAAAGTCGTCTTCTCAAAGATGCATCTAAAGATCTTAAATAGAGTTGTAATTTATTTACCTTGCTTTTCTGATAGGTTAATTTGTTTGCAAAGAGCTATGAAACTAGAAAAAACAAAAAAATAAGAAAATGAACTTTAAAAACTTTATGTAGGCCTTTCTTTTACTCTGATGAAGCCCTGTATACTGGGACTAAATATTAGTATGGATTCTCGTCGTCGTATTACTTTGTTCTTGAATATATTTTTTTACAAGTCTCACAGACAACTGGTATGCAAAATAGGCCTTTGTCAAAGAGGGCGTCCTGGGCATAATATGAAGCTAATTCAATTAGTACTTGTCATATTCAAACTATATTTAATAAAAGGCTTTAAAATGGTGACTTCAAAGACATGGCAATGCCAAATTCATTTCCAAAATGGCAACTTCAAATACAAAAGCAACGCAAAATTAATTAACCGCCAGCCTCCACCAGTTGATTTTAAATAAATACCGTAAATTTTGAATCATAAGATGTCAATTACTAACTGATAGTGCAATATAAGAAAGTTACTCCGAAGTGTTTGGCATTTAAAAACATATTGAAAAAGAAGAATAATCATAATACACAATTTCAAACTCATATTAATATTAAACAAAAAATATATTAAGATTTAAAATGAATTACAACCCTTCACGTTTCTCTTTTTTATCAATTCTCGAGATACAATTACATACAAAAAATTACATCCTGATTTATTCAAAACCATGCTTTATTTCCAAAAATTTACATCAAATTTCTTCGATTTGATTATGCTCCCCTCTAAGAGAAAATAAGTATCGGTAGCCCTGCTACCGGGAAGAGCCTATAGTGGGACCAAAAGCTTTTGAGTCAAAGTTTTCGCTACTTCGGTGTTACCGACGATGATGTAATAGTCTTGATTTTACAGGGCAAATTTTTTCCGCTACTTTCATCCACGCACCACTTCCCCCGAATTAAGCAGCACAACACAGCAACTGGGCAGTTTTAGTATACTAATTGTGGAGGCGATTGCCCGATGCAACAGTGAAATTTCATGGTTACAGCAATACAATACCTTCCTTTAGTAATAGGTGGCTTGGGCCCACCCCTCCCCTCCCCCTCCCCTCCCCTCCCCTCCCCCCTTAGCTAAAGTTCTTTGAAAAGGCTCAGGAACCCAACAAGCTAAGCTGTGGCTACATTTTGCTGCCGGACATAATCATGAAAAGGTATTAGTCGATTGTAGTAGCAGGAAAATACAAGAATCGTCCCTGTTATTATAAAATTGACTGATAGGTATGTCCACCTAGGTCCAAAGTAACTGTACATTTGTGCCATTGCCAGTGGTCCAATCATCCTTGCAAGAGAACCTATAGAACTGATGAAGGCCATGTATGCGCCCTGCAACAAATTTTAACCAAGGGGTCAGAATATTCACATTTTAGAATATGTGTTTCAAGTAGAGTAGTTCTACCAGAATATTGACAAGTTACACAAAATCTCAAAACAACTCGGACGTGAATATTTTGGCTTTTAAATTTGTGGAGAAAATGCTTGCAACTAAAAAGAGTGATTTTAGGCACTTTCAGATAAAGAAGAAGCCGCAATAGCATACTAAATATGACAATATGTATAATAACTGGCCGTAGAACTGAAATTAAATCAGAGAGACGTCGACAACCAAAAGACAGTTCTAAAACATTTTAGAACAGAGACTGTTCAGTGATGTTCTGGGTAGACTTTCCCACTGTATAACTTTTGTTAAATCCGTAAGGAATTCATACTACTGTGAGGACATATCTAAACTGCGGAGGAGATCGTCTCCTCTGCAGTTTAGATATGCCCTCGCGAAGTACGATTGCCTTATGGAGTTAACAAAAATGGACTTTGGGAAAGTCTACGTTCTGGGTTAAACTTTACCATGGTTGGCTAAAACAATTGGCTAACAATACATTATGCTTCAATGTTATTGGGACTTAAGTTGCAAAAAGAAATGAAGAATCAAACTGTTATTGTCAAGTTGCAAGTACGATTGCCTTAGAGTTAACAAAAATGACCTAAAACTTTACCAAGGCTTACATTATGCTTCAATGTCTTATTTTAAACTAGTCATTCAGAGATGACCATTGCAATGTAGTTAAGCTAAAGTATTTTACCTGTTGTCTTGGGCCTAATATTTTTGAATACATTGTATTCACAGCCAAAAATGCGATAGGATACCCAATACCAACTAAAGTTGCAGCGACGAGGAACTGAGGAAAATAAAGTCTTGGTGTTGTCGTACACCACGTGTATTTTCGATTGCAACCCAACGTCAGCTTGGTTTTATTGGTTCCTTTTATCAGTTCTGTAACAAAGAAAAATGTAGTTAATAGCATAGAAACTCAAAAGAAAAACAACAGCGATCGCCATTCTCAACGTCGGTCACTGGGAGTCAGGCTAAGAGGTTTTCGCTAACAGAAGCTGTAGCCTGACCTCGACTTGACAAATTACATGCTTTAAATGATGTACAGTTCTTAAACCAGTTGACGGCCGAAACAAGTTGAGGGGCGGTGTCTGTGGAAATATATGCAGCGAAAACTCAAACGAAAGATGAAGCAACCTTATATAGTAAATAAATAGAATGAAAATACAGCAAAAAAAGTTATAAGACAGAAAGAAAATGCCTACATGATCAAGGACATGATCGGCCTAGAAGACAGGAATCATTTAAAAAACATACCCTCTGTCTGAAGCTGGGGATAGGAATTTCCCCAAGGAATGTAAGTGATAAATCCCAAAAGAATTATTACGAATCCTCCTGCGATCACTGCTCTCTCGCCGTATCTATGGAACACAAAGAGTTGCAGCAACGAAATAAATCAGATTTGACTATGTCAAAGATGATAACCGATGATAACCACTTTAGTTGATCAGAGAAAGAAAATTGGCTGGAATTAGGTAAATCTTTAGCAGAAGAGCTTTTTTATGGCTAGTATATTAAGTCATTAATTAATTAGATCATCCCTTTATTTGATATTTCAAACAATGCTATATTTGAGTCGGTTGGCAGAAAGTGTAGCCAGACACTTCTTGATCCCACTAGGGCTGTAATTAAACCTCATTATTTTCATGGAGCCAAATGACAGCTCCTAATCGAAGAAATAAAACGAAAACAAAGAATTTTCTACATGTACTGAAAAAAAACTACTTACTTTGAAGACAAGTACTTGACAACATGAAAGCACAAGATTGCAATGACCCCAGCTACAGCCAAAAGAATTCCACCATATAAGACAGTTTCTTTATACGTCCAAGCAAATTCATCCATTACCAATGGCGAGATCAACCTACAAATGCCACATTGTCTGGTTAACTCACTGGATTGAGTGCTGAAAAGTTGCCTGATGAACGCATAAAGCTTCAAACTTAAAACTGATAGTGAAAGTCGCTTACAAAAATTGACATCAAATTAAAAGATCGATAAAATGAAAAATTAATTACCAAAAAATAAAAGAAATAACAAAAAAAGAAAGCTAAAGAAATTAGAAGGAAAGATTAGCTTCTAATTAAAGATCACATAACTTAAAAAAAATGCAAAATGAAAAGGTTCCCGCAGAAAATAAAAAAGAACTGGCAAAGGAACTAAGGAGCGAATCGTACAAGCTGTTAATAACCTAAAACAGAAAATATGAGACCAAAATAAATGAATGCTATACCCAAAAAATCCTCGCTGGGGATAAATTTTGAAAGAAAGAGGTCATTTTCACAATTATTATCAGACAATAAAGTTTTCTAGAAAAAAAGTATTGAAAAATTATCATAATAAAAGCCTACTAAGATCCACATGAATGTCCTTTTGTCCTTCGTAGATATCAACTTTCACTTCTTTGAAAAAAAATATCAGCACAACGAAGTTTATGATACCCATGATGACGCCGAGAAATCCTGGTGCTGTGTATATATCAAGGGTTAACTTCATTGAATCGAAATGAATGCCATTGCCTCCGATTGGAACAACTGCAACTTGCATTGCTAGAAGAAACAATCAACATTGATAAACAAATCAGCACCATTCTGTGAAATACAACACAGACTGTGCCAGGACACAACAGCTTTTACTATGAGTATTAACACTAGGATTGCAAAAACATTCGTACTTCCATCTCTTGTTCAATTTTCATTATGAGAAAGTCTTTAATATTTGCCGAGAGCCAGGAGAGTAGCCTTTGCTAATTTATAAGAAACTATTTACCTGCTATAAACAAGTCTGGAACTAACAACGAAGCAAAGGTGGACAGAGAAGCATCAACCTAAAACATATTTGCTTTTGTGCAACATGCCATTGCGAACTTTAGCTAGCTATTCAGAAACTTACTCAACCCTTCCCGAGTTAGTACTTACATATTTATATTGTATACGTGACAAGATCAAGTAATTAATATTTTCTTGATTATTAAAGGTTAGACTGTGCTTGATAAGTAATAAATTAAAGGTTAGATTGTGCTTGATGAGCAATAAACATTTCAATAAAACATGTTGGCTGTCGAGGCTATGACAAAATTGACGATGGGAAAGATAACATTTGCAGAGATATAAATTGCATTTTTAGAGAGACAAATTCTTGTCTCTCTTGCAGCAACATCAAAATGAATGGGAACTCAATATACAGAAGAACATGCCGGACACGATGAGGTTTTTACGGTGATAGAAAACCTTTTTCCTTTATGTACAGCTTATTCTAAAGAAATTTTTCCTTCTGTTGTTATAACAGTTGTTCCTTCTATGCACTGGTTTTTAATCAAAACGTGAGCTACTTTCACACACAAGCCCCGTTTTGTTATGCTTTTCCGTACGTTTCTAGTGCCACTCTGCTTTGACATTATAATTTTAATTGCATAATAAATAAAAATACTTAAATGCTTACCAAAACTATTGATAAGAGTAAAGAGGAAACATTCCCTACTGGTAGTGTTTGCTCTTTGCGTACTAAATTTTACTTTTTCTCCGTTGCTGACATTTATTTTCTATCTTCATTTCTTCCCAATTCCACTCTCCCCTTTCCACTTTCCCCTTTCCCTTTTCCCTTTCCCATTCCCCTTTCCCCTTTCCTCTACGTCTGTCGGCCTTAATCTTTTCTTCATCTACCTTCTCTTCCCGCACCTTATCCTTCCATTTCCATATGAATTCTTTTCTTTATCTACTCTATCTTATAATATGCATTTATATATCAAAGTTCTATCAGATAATATAATCCATTCATTTTTTACTCATCACTGGCTTTCATCAGCCTTTTTGCCTTCCTTCTTCCATTTTTTCCTATGTTTCATTCTTTTTGCCTTTTCTTTCTTCATTCCCTGCCATTTGGAAGGGGGTTCTTCCTTGAAGCTGCCATATGCAAACATTTCCTACATTTATGCCATTGCAGGTGTTTATCAGGGAAAATGATAAATACTATCCCACCTTAAATTATTCTAATTACTTCCCATTTCCATTCCAATTGTTATTTTCAAATTATCTCTCTTTGCTAACAAAATACAAGTCTTTGAGTTATATCTCAAGATGCCTAAACGATTTTCCTTTTTAAATCTTTACCATCAAAATTTTGTTCATCTAAGTTTTCAATGAAATTTGTTTTTCATTTACAAGTCAGGATGGCATGCTAGAGCCCAAATACAAACTATAAAGCATATATTCAAAACCTTCATTGACAAATATTTCCACAGAATTTTTCCTAATAAATTACCTGGGCCAAAGGCAAATCCAATAGCCTGCCAGATTGCTAAGTTTGCAAATGCCTTTGTTCTTTCCTTTAATGTTGTTGACTGGGACAACACTGCACGACAAACTGCTACATTGCCTACAAAAAATTTCAATTAGAAAAAACAGACCAATTCAGAGCCCTAAATTAAAACAATTGATAAAAAAGTACAAAAAGCAAAATTTACCAGAATATTGTATCTTAGATTGAAGATGCAGAAAATTGCCGAAATGACCACTTGTGGCTCAAAGAATTTCAGAATTGTGTTTTAGTCATCCATGGGAACTAAAAGCTCCATCTTTAAGCTGATGGCAGTCTTCAGTTAAATCACTGCCTGCCTACCAATGGACTAGCAGAGACAAAAGTTTAGTCATTGTAAAAAGCATTAATATTTCAATGGCAACAAAAAATGTGTCTACATTATTTTCTCTTCAGTCAAATCTCATTGGATTATTAATGTCAGCATTTCTTACCGACAACAGGACGGAGTGTTGCCCTAGAGCAGGGGTCGGAAACCCTTATAAAACAGGGGGCCAAATTTGATTTCTGAAATGCATACGAGGGCCGCAACTCAAAATACAGGATAATTTCAAGATATACCAATTCTACCTAACTACTAATCTAGCCAATAAAAATGTATTTATCTGTAAATGTACTGTAAAGTAAAAGCTGTACGTATATACAGAGATAGATGTAAACTACATGTTCACTGTTGGGTATATTACAAGAAGCTGATGCGCAACTTGGTGCTGCACGTCCTTGGCCAACTTCTCAATATTTGGCAGAATTGTTGATGTTGGCAGTCGCAAGTTGCCTTCAAGGTGCTAATCAGTCATTCGAGATCGCAGTCTTCGCATACTTCATCTTTGAGAAGAGACTTTCGCAAAGGTAAGTACTGCCAAACATGCAACACATCTTCTTGGCTTGCTGCACCAGACCTGGATATGAGCCATCATCCACCATGGAGATACTCCATATAAAACTGGATGCTATGAGTTTCCTTGTACTTCTGTTTCAATTCACTGGTACCCTGCAGCTCAATCAACTCCATTTGAAGATGGAAAGTGAACCAAGTTCCATTGATTCAGCTGAGTTTTCCAAAGATTTAGCATAAGCAGGAACGTGACAACATGTTCATACACGACATTCACAAATTGACCATGGGCTTCAAGCTTCTTGTTCAGCTTGTTCTAGTGACTAGTAATATTAACGAGGAATGCTAATCTAGACAAAAATTTAGGATCACTGAATCAATATCGAGTTGACACTCATGCATTGGGCCACATTATTTACAGGTTATTCCGGGCCACACAAATGGCGGGCCGCATGCTGACCCCTGCCCTAGAGACTACTTAAGGCTAACTTCACATATAGAACAAAATGTTTGGTATTCAAAGGCATTTTTCAGTAGATGCATAGTTAAACTTACCTGCAGATAAACCTAGCAGAAGCCTGGCAGTTAAAATCAAATTGATTCCGTCAACTGGAAATGCTTCACCATAACTATACAACAAACTTCCAGATGTGAGGAAAAGAATTGAGAAGAGAAGAGGTTCTATTGCAGGGCGATGCTGACACCATAATCCTAGTAAAAGTGAGCTAGCCATCTGGCCCAGGCTGAATCCTGCATTTGTCCAACCAAGAAAATTAGCAGTAACTGTGGAGTCCACCTACAATGAAGAGACACGATTGTAATAATATGAATATTAAAATACAAGAAATCATTTTCTTATGGGAATTTTTCTTGGAAATTGAATGTCAAAACTTAACAAAAAATTTGGAACAATAAACATAGAGCAAGGTTGAAAAATGTGATGTTATCATATTGCAAGTTCTTTTAGACATATCAGACAAAACTATCCAGGAATCCTAGAGAATTTCAGTTAAGGCTAGAGTTGGTCAGCAAAAATAATTTTTGTTAAAACTTATTCACTTTACTGTAAGTTAACAATAACAGTTACTTATTTTAATAATGATTTATTAAATTTAATTATTTTGTTTTCAAAACATCTTTTAACCAAGAGTCTTTATATTGAAGTATTCCTGATCTAAAGTGTTTTTGTCTTTCCTGTTTTACAAACTCTAGGTTGGCATTTATGCCCAAAAAATATTACTAATGATCAAATCCTATATTTATCTCCATGGGTGTTAACAAAGTTCTTGCTCTCTAGAGAAGAGAAATGAAACAGATGAAGTCCTTAAATGTAAAGTCCTTAATACAGTAAAATTGAAAACTTTCAGTTGGAAAAATTTCAGTAAAATTTTTGAACATGATTTTTGTACATGATTGTGTACAAATTGCTTGGCGTGATTTAAATAGTTTTATCACTGTACACCTTCAAGGCTGATACCCAATAGGTGACTAAGTGCGTTTGAGTGCGTTCATCTCTAATACTTTAATTGAATTAAAAATAACAGATAAACTACCAAGGCATTCCCACCTGCGAAACATAAATGCTCAACTAGATGTGTGAAGACAAATCAAAATGAACTATGAAAATTTGAGAAAGAGATTGGTGATTTTGTTGATTTCCACAGAGCATTGCTACTTGGTGATTAATTTGAATGCTCAGAGATGAACGCACTTTAACGCACTCAGTCGCCTAGTGGGAACCAAGTTTCACAATTCATCACAGCATAAAATAATTTCATAACTGCACAAAGTGGTTATCACGTCACCTCAAAATAAGGCATGCAAAGACTGAATACCATAAAAGCTCTATTAAGCCTTGAAGGGGGGCTTATTTTTTCCAGTCCTAGATGGGGCTTAAAAGAGAGGGGGCTTTCAAGAGGGGGCTTATTAATAATTCAATATAAAGAATGTTATAAAAATGCCCTTATGCATTTCATGTTATGAAATTGTTATACAAATGTTCTCAAAAAACTTTTCTAGCGTACTTAATGCACACAATCTTATCATGGTCAGCCCCTGTCAAGAGACCTACTCAATGTGCATGTTTTCTTTGTTTGACATGGGGGGCTAAACAGGGGGGCTTAATAGTGTGGGGGCTTATCATAAATTTTTGCTTGATAAGTGGGCTTAATAGAGAGTGGCAGAGAGGGGGCTTGATAGAGCTTTGATGGTACTTGCATTGCTATCTGACAAATATGGTATGATAAGCAATGCCATAAGAAGGGACTGTCAGTATGTATATATCCTTTTTTCATGATACAGAAGTTTGTAAGAGGTTTTTAATGGGGGGAAATTGACTAAATACTGATGCATACCTTTTGAAGATAAGGCCACAGCGAAGACATGACTATAGCAAACTCTGTGCAAATTAAATAAAAAAATTACGAACAACGAAATCAAACATACAGCAAGTGTATGTACTAGTAATAGATTCAGTTACATCATTTATATCTCTTGAATCTCTGGAATCAAATATAAATCTCTGGTAACTTCCAAAATGATTATCTAATTTTCAGGACCTTTATGATGTCATCTCTTTTATCACCATCTTTTACTGCCACAATTTTGCATCATTGGCTAAATTGCATAATTGTTATCTACAACCTACACAAAATGTCATACACAGGAAGTAATATGTTAGTCCTTTACTAGTGGGAAGTAAAAGAGGAGAAGTAAAAGCCTCAAATAGCCAAAGGTTTCCAGGAATGGTTGAACTACAAAAAAATTTTTTCAAACTTACCCATCATTTGCCAAAATGAAAAGAAACATATGATAAAGAAACATTTTCATTCCATGCATATTCATAAACAGTGAGAGCAGATATCAATCTTATTGTAAGAAATAACATTAAAGAAATAAAAGAATGTTAGTCATGAATAATTTCCTAACACCCTTGGCTGGGCACCTTAAGGTGTTAGGTACTTCAAATAAAAATTACATTTCCTTAAAAATCCAGGGTTTGCCAATGAAAACAAATGAATTCACAAAAAGTGAGCCTTATGTGCATCAACTTACGGATAGAGCTAAAAAACATTGTCATGTAAAGGATTTTGATTGACCTCCATCGGACTTTGTAACTTTCTTCTGCTTCAACTTGACGATTCTTTCCTTGAATGTTTCCAGCTAGTGTTCCATAGTCTATACTGTATGCAAAAGAAGCATCTATAAGGCATATGAAACTATACTGCATTTATTTGGCAGCACAGAGCATTGAGAAAAGTGGAGGTCTAGAAAAAGAGGGGGGCTAAAAATGGATAAAAAGGATCTTCTGGTGGCTGAGCCCCTCTTGTTAGTGTAGAAAAGTAGCCAATAATTTCCACTTTTTCTATTGTTGCTTGCAGTGTTTTGCAAAAGAGTCCCCCCCCCTGTTATTTTGACAGCCCCACACCCCTGCATATTAGCATATTAACTTTACTACAGTTACAACATGCAAATATTTAGATCAGCTGAAAAATAAAACTATTGAAACTTCTTTGCTTCTTCTCTACTGTTAGTGTGTCAGATATGTCACAGAACTCGAAAAATATCTGATTTCCATTTTCCTGAAAATTTCTTTAAATATTACTTATTAGACACAATTGGTAAACAATGTTATCCATAGCCCCCCTCCCAACAAAAAATTTTATCCCCCCTCCCCCACTAGATTCCAGTGGCTTGATTTGAAGTATGCTTAGTGCAAATATACAAGCATGGTCATGCGCTTGCTTGCGGTTTGTGTTCATGTTGCAACCAATAGTCATGTGATCGCTAAACGTCGGGGAGACAGTTCAGAGTTCAGAGATTGTTAGTGTGTCATAACAATCGTATTTTTTCTGTCGTAGGCAATGACATTCTGCAAAAGTTAAGTTTTCATAACATAAAAAAAATGCAAAATCACATATCAATTCAGTAACATACAGACATTCAATGCAATCCTTCTTTGGCATCTGAAATAAAATCCATGTCCTAGCAGCCCTCTTGTCGTTGTATGTTTTATTATTTGAGTGGCAATTCCTTTTGTGTATATTAGGAAGAATTAAACTACAGTAAACAGATTGCAACATGAGCATCTTGCAAGTAAACTTAAAATATTGTTAGTTTTTAAGGCTGCATCGTAAGTTTGCTAGTCCGACTTCCTAAACTTTATCGTTGGACTAGACTCCTACATGTGTCATAATGGCCACTAGGGTAAATTCAAATGAATTTCAGCTGTGTTTTCATGTTCTTTATTCAAATACATGAAAGTCATTACAAAATATTGTTGATTGCAAGAGATTTTCATACTCCAGCAAGCCTAGCGCGAACTAAATTGTTGGACGTACCTGACATCTTCGTTCTTCACAAGAGCTTTCCGTTCGTTATCATCATCCATTTTCATGATTTAACCTGAAAATTTTTATTGCAAGGCCATATAAACTCCTCATATAAAATGAGACACAAACATAAGTAACATCACTGCATCGCAACCATAGAAATGATCGCGACATGTATCATTGTTAATCATCACCATGCGAATACCATTTCCCAGATTCAGATTGTTGTTGTTGAAAATCTTCAGACGGCTAACCTGAAAACATGGAATGTAGAATGTGGAACGTTGGAATGCTGGAATGCTGGAACGATGGAACATGTTTTCTAAAACCTATATAACTACATGCAAACATATAGATTTGTATTTAATTCGGGTTTATTGGTAGGAGAACTTATCGTATCATCACAAACCAGCTCTTGCTCACTGCCTTTTGCATCGCACAATTTCAAATTTTTAATTTTTTTTTGTCTCTAGGTGCACAGATATCAGTTAACACCTATATTTTGTATTTTTATGTCCCACTTTAAAGGCAAACTTATTCATCATTAAACGGAAAAGAACACGCTGCAGATTGAATTGCTGTTTGCATCACAGAATCGGAAAAACTATTTGCTATTGAATGAGTTATTTTGACACATGTTTATCTTGGATTTATCGTGGAATGTTAGGAGAGAATGAAAGGAGAAAGAAAGCCTGCTAAATCTGCATAGAGAGAAGACCCATTTATTGCTTGGAAGGAAGTGGCTAGAAAGTTTAATGCAGAATAAAGACGCCAAGTATAGCGGCCTTGGTCACGGTACAGCAACAACATGTAGAAGTAACAATAATAATAATAATGGAAACATTTCATTTTCAATTAAACTTAAACTACAACTACAAATCTCACTATTACAAGGTAATTTGCAATTGGCTAGCCTGGTTTTACAAGAAAAAACTATAACAATCGTAAGGTAAAAGGAAAAACTGAGAAAAATAAAATAAAACAACTAAAGTTAAAAAGGATGTAATAATAATAATAATAATAATAATAATAATAATGAAAACATTTTTTATTTTATATTCTTCTACTTATAACAGTAACCTCACTTTACAGGTAGTTACTATCGGCTAGCCTGGTGACAAGTTTACTAATTTTACAAAAGTTATAACATTTAAATAAATCATATGAGTGCAAAGAATCTTTAGAAGGAGAGCAGTTCAGGGTTTGTCCAAGTCTTATTGCGCATACAGAATATATAATAGGATGGGCGTATAATTATTGCTGACAGTTTTTTAATTATAAAATTACGGTGTTGGTAGTCAAGTTTTAGTTCATCACACATATCGATGAAAGAATCACAGGAGTTACCAAAGATACCGAGACAGCTGATAGATAGATTAACAAAGTTTACTTTTTTGAACTTAGGGCGTAGTTCCTTTAGAAGGGAACGGTACTTCTCAGCTTTACGCGAAGCGTTATTGTCCAGGTTAGTCTCGAACCCAACAGTTAATTCGATGACATACAGACAGTTAGAAGCAGTTTTAATTAGCATGTCGGGACGGAGCGAATCGCCAGTTATGATACATGGTGTTAAATAAGCGGGAATGTCAGCATAAATGAATACATCTCGGATACATTGAAATGATGATGCAATGAAGTGCAAGGCAGAGTCGTGCCTCTAAGTAAAACGCCCTTGCTCAAGGTATTTGTTACATCCAGCTACGACATGAAGAAGTGATTCAGGCTGAAGGCAGAATGAGCAATCTGAAGAAGAGCTAATTTTCCATAAGCAGAGGTTGTTCCTTGTGGCTAGTGTGTTGTTGAAATACCTTATCGTAAAGTTGAAGATGTTTTTTGGAAGTTTACTTTGAGCTGCAGACCAGAGTGAGGTTAACTTTGTATATGAATGCTCAAGCAGGAATGAAATGATGAAGCCTTGAGATGTTAACTGAGTTTTGAGCTTTTCAGTGTGTTCATCCCTTACACATTTCAGTACCGCCTTAGTGTTCTTGTATGCGTCGAACTGTATATTAGGTCCATAATTGGTGTTCATCCATAGGGATTTGATGTTTTCGTTGGGCGAAGATTTGAGTGAGTTTCGAAGAACAATCTGGCACTGTTGAAACTTTACGGAAGGAAGCAGAAGCTCAAGACCAAAGTGTTTACGAGAAAGAACTATGCCACTCAATGTCGAAGATATTGGAAGCTCGAGCCACTGTCGAACGAATTTTGTGACAAGCTGATCTAAGTTTTCGCAAACCCACGTTTTGGAGAGAATAATAATAATAATAATTATAATAATAATAATAATAATAATAATAGAAATGGCGCCGTGCTGAGAGGACGTGTTTGGAATCTCGCACGAGAACCTAAAATAATGCTCTCATTATGCGTATTTTAGGAAAGGAGCATGTAATTATATTATTGATATCTATATATCAATGTATAATTAGCGACCTGCAACACTTCCAAAGTCAAACAGAAGTCGCAAAAGCGAAATACAGAATGGAAGATGGGGAACAACATCAAAGCAGCCATGCTCGACGCCAATCAAAAACAAATTGGACCGCAAAAATGAATATGGATCTGCTCAACTGCAGAGAAAGGGCCAAAAGTACCCATACAAGAGCTGACTGCCCACGCAAACCAAATGGACGAAAGACTGGAGTGATGGAGCTCACAAAAATCTTTTGGGAAGAAATTGGTTACGCAGATTTAGGCAAAACAGCACAGAACTTGCGAGACCAAGCTGCACGCATTGAGAAGATGACAATAACAGACCAACAGACAATACAAAATGAGATAATAGAACAAACAGAATGCCAAATAAAAGACAATGCTGCATTGAATAATGTAGAAACCGAACAAAGGAGCATTGAAAATCCACCCTTTACGCCAGATGCGGAGCTAGACAGTCATTTCAAAGGTATACAAGAAAAGGTCAAACAAAAATATCTTGCTGTAAAAACAATCCCTGGGGACTGGAGTAGACGTGGTTTAAACACATATGTAAAAAAGAAGCCAACATGTAAAGAACTGCAAGACCTGCAAGGAATTCTTATGGGTTTGGAAATGCATAGCCCAAAGGAAGAACCAACGAAATACCTGTGGGATGTGAACTGTGCAATGTATGCAACGATTTGTGGATGGAAGTTAGCATGCGATCATAAAGATGGGAATAACAACAGCAACAGCCATGGAAAGCAAAAGGGCATTCCAGTCTGGGAAAAACGAATGAATGAGAAAATGAACAAAATTAGGGGCAAGATCTCACAAATTGCCGAGGAAATACAGAGAATAAAGAATAATAAGAAACTTACGAAAAACATGAGAAGAAACAGGAGGTGGATGAAAAGAGAACTGAAGGGTAGAATAACCCTAAATGGGTTACTGGAAATAAGGGAACACAAGATTAGTGTGGTAAAATCAATGAAATACAATAAGGAAAAGAAAAAAGGCCAGATCGTGAGAAACAAAATTAACAGGCTATATGACACAGACCAAAGAAAAGTATACAACACGTTTAGAGAAATCCTGAAAAACGATGACTCGGATGATGTGAGTTTTAAGACAAGAAGAGACAAAACCGGAAGCCAAACAACACTTACCAAAGAAGATTTTGAAGACTACTGGCCAAAAATTTGGAGCGAAGAATCGAAGGTAAATCTGGAAGCAAAATGGATCAAAGACGTTGAGCAAGCCATTAGCCAGTCAACAGCAGTCAATGATGATGAAATCGTAAATATCACAAAGGAGAAATTCACGAATATGCTTAAAACGAAAAAAAACTGGTCGTCACCCGGTAAAGATAAAATAGTGAATTACTGGCTCAAAGCGTTTACAACTACACATGAAGGTATATCGGTAGCAGTCACTGAACTGATTAACAAGCAGACACCTATTCCCACATGGTTATTTGAAGGAAGATGTGGGCTACACCCAAAAAAGCTCCAACCAAAAGCACCTGACCATCGTCCCATCACCTGCTTAAATACGATGTACAAGTCAATCACTTCACTCGTAGGCGAATATCTACCATTAAAGACGCTACAGATGGATCAGAGAGGAGGTAGACCTGGAGTAATGGGATGCACTGACAACATGTTAATTGACAAAATGATCCTAGAAGATGCAAAAATGAATAAAAAGAATTTATCAATGGTTTGGACTGATGTAAGAAAAGCATTTGATTCCGTGACACACGCTTGGATTCTTAAGGTGTTATCAATGAATAAGACAAACAAACGAATCATAAAGTTTGTAGAAAACATAATGAAAGGCTGGAAAATCTCAATAACCGTCGATACAGTAAATGGAAAGGAACAATTGGAGCCAATAAATGTCAAGAGAGGTATACTGCAAGGAGACAGCTTTGTTGTCAAGCTTTTTGTACTATGTCTTGACCCAATAGCTTGGACGATTAGAGGATATGAGGGTTACCAACTGACGCACGACAGGACAATGAAGATAACACACCTATTATATGTTGACGATTTAAAACTCTATGCAAAGTCAGAGAACAAAATATCAGTCGTGACAAAGAAAGTTAAGGAAATGTATGAGGATATTGGGATGTCCTGGGGCCTAGAAAAGTGTGCTTCTTTGCATGTAGTTAGAGGGAAAGTATCAAAGAGCGAAGATTTACCAATAGGAGCAAAGGATTCCATCTCAGTTATGAAATCTAGCGACAAGTACAAATTCCTTGGAAAGTATGAAAATTTCGAACAGCTGGACAAGTTCACGTTCCAACAAGCAGAAAAAGAGTATCTACGAAGATTGAATGCTATATGGTCATCACCCTTGTCAGTACCAAGAAAACAGACAGCTTGCATCGTCTTTGCTTTGCCTACATTAGAATACTTCATGGGGACAAGTAATTGGTTGATAGCAGATATTCAAAATCTTGACAGGAAAAGCAGAAAGGTAGTCGAGATGCATAAAGGAAAACACATCTCAGAATCAATAGCAATGCTCTATTTGCCACAGAAATGTGGTGGAAGGGGCTTCAAGTCTGTAGAGGATACCTATAAGATCTCAAAAATTAAGGTGGCACATTAACATAAGCAAAGATCCAAGAATAAAGCTGGTACGCTCGTTCCAACATTACAAAAGCAAAAAGAACTTCAAGTCAACTTTTGTTGAAGCAACAAGGTACGCAAAGGAACATTTCAAAGCTGACTTGAGCCTTTTAGAGGAAAAGTCTGTATCAAGCTATGAACAGGAAAGAGTGGAGTTAAAAGATGACAACTATAT